TCAAATCTTTTGGCAGTGGGGCCTCTCATTTCTTCCAGGTGGTCTTGTAAAGTACAGTCAGATCCTCGCATGAGTTCGCATAGACTCTTTTGTGGCACACCATGGCTTACAAGGAGAGTCTCCCACTTCACACGAGAAGATGCCCTTGCACTGGGAGCAGGGCTACAGATGTCAGTCTCTTCCTTCTGAAGCATACCTGGATTCCTGCAGAAAGTGCTAGGTCATCCTTAAGGGCTGGCTATGTTAACTGGAGAAAGATAGCCTGTGGCGGAGCTTAGGGCCATGGATAGAAGAAGGAAGAAGGAAGAAGCTAGAGCCGAAGAGAACTCAGGGCTTGGAGATAGAATAAAGGAAACTCTGTGTCTGGGCCATGTGAGTCATGACTGGAGAGGTGCATTGGGGCTAGGTTCACTTGCCTGGTTTTGTTGTTGTTTTGTTTCTTGGTATCCTGTTTAATTATAGCTGCACTCTCTAAATTGCTATAGACTTAACCATCCTTTTCTAAAGAAATCTGTTGAGTTTTAGTTTACTTTGTGCATTATAATTTCCTCCAATGTCTTATTTTGTCTATTGCATCCAGTCGTTACTTAATAATTGTACGTGGAAGAAATGGGCAACATGTAAATTTTCCTTTATAAAAAGAAAATAAGAAAAGTTGTTCATATTAATTCCATTCTTTGTTTTGAGCACAGCAGGAAGAATAAAAATGTACATTATAGACAGAAACACTAATTCTCTGAGGTGTAATGCTGTCTTCCATGATAAGCTTTTGTGTTCCCTGCTTGTAAAGTCCCACATCTATGAAACTGATGGGATGTGAATTCTCTTGAGATATGTAATGTTTGAAAGCATGTAATATATTACTACTTTAATATAGCAGACAGCATGCAAATTACATTGCATTATGATATAGTGATCTCCCAAGGCCAGAAGGTCTTAATAAAAAAAAATACCACATTTGTAAAACACTCTTCTTGTGTGTTTACATTTAATAAATATCTTTTCAAATCCATTCAGCAAATATAACAGATGGAGATGAGCCTAGTCCTGCTTTATGAAACCTTGGAAGGTGCCTTTGGGAATTCTCTTTTGTAGTTCATATTTGAATTGTGCAATATTTCAGAAATATAAATGTTTCCTGCCTCTTCTTGTAACAAATCCAAAGCAGTCTACTCGAGTGCTTCTTCAGACTCATCAAAAACGCATTTGTTATTATCCCACAAAGCCCTAATAGCTTATTGCCATCTTTAGTGTTTAATTCCTTAATTTGAATGTTAATGTTGTAGCAAGATTTCACGGCCTTTTAGCTGTTGACAAATATTTATTTAAGTATACCAGTTCCCAAACATGGGGACAGATATGACTAGCTGAACCTGAGGGATGCCTCCTTACTATTCTAACTAAAAACATGCAAGCCCTTGCATCTCTTCACTTAATGGGTTTAATGGTTACACATCTCATCATGACAAATTAGTAATGTTTGTTATCTTAACAATGACTGTGGACCCTGAAGCAGGCAAGGTTTAGCTGTCTTGGCTATGGTTTTTATAAACTCCTAGCCAGGTGCCAGGGTGAGTTACCCAGCCTCTGCTGGAGAATGCTCTGCTGGAAATTCAGGCTGTGGCTCTTGGCCTTCCTGTCGCTGGCATCAGGCCTCCTCACCCTTACAGAGTGAACTTCTCCACTGGGCGCCCACCCCACGCCCCAGCAGCTGGCTCCCTTCTGGTGGCAGGGTGGGGTAGAGAAACAACAGGAGCACAGAGCAGCCCACTCCAGAAGTTCTGTTCCCCTCCAACTTGGGAAGATGTTAGGACCATACATTCCTGTTTGTTGTGTGACAGTTTCTGTACTTTGAGGCAGAGTACAGTCATATGTGTATGAATGCTAGAGGTTAATCTAACACCATTAGACTATTAAAGGTTTGTGTTGCAATAAATATATAAATATACAACGGAGCATTTTAGCCTCTTATTCTGTGATCTCTGTACACCTTGCATATTCCCCAGATTACTGTTCCACATTGCTTTGTCCTTGAAGATTCTGCTGTGGAGGGTCTGCCTGTTCAGGACATCTCCTGTTGAGACTGTGGCTGTAGCCTGTGTTTACTCCCAATAATTACATGAGATGTTCATTTTTTGTGTATTTAAATATTTATATTTCTAAGCGGAGTGGGGATAGGGTGGGAGGTTGGGGATGTTGGTAGGGGGTGGGGGAGGAGGGGAGGGAGAGGGAGCTGTGATTGACATGCGAAGCAAGCTTGTTTCTAATTTAAATAAATATTTATATTTTTAAAATTGTGCTTTGGAGAAAGCTCAGCTTTTATTAGCCAATGAATAGGAAGCCAGAGCTGTATGTCTGAGGCTGTGACTACAGTGGCCTACTCTATTGTGAATCACCCAGGGCCTCTCTCAGCCTCAAGAGGACCCGTCCTTCCCTAGCTGAACTGTGTAGGTTTAACATTACACCTGGAGGCTAGGTCACACATTCCCAGGACAGTCTGGCCCCCGGAGAGTCAGTCCCATAGGCCAGCGAAGGCCTCAGCTCTCTCTTAAAGTTGTAAGTTTTATTTTATGCATGAGTGTTTGCCTATGTGAGTGTATGTGCGCGCGCACTGTATTTGTATATGTCTGGGTGTGTACCATGTGTGTATGTCTGTGCACATGCACCATACGCATGCTTGATGCCAAGATGAAAAGAGAGCGTCAGATCCCCCAGAACTCGAGTTACGGATGTTTGTGAGTTACCATGTGGGTGCTGGCAATTCTTTTCTTTTGCCGTACCAGGAAAGGAGTGTGTGTGTGTGTGTGTGTGTGTGTGTGTGTGCGTGCGTGCGTGCTACGTTACTAGTCCCTTAAGACAACTTTATTAAGGTGTAGCATACACTGAGTTCCATCTGTTTTCAGTATACAGCTCATGAGTTCTGACAGGTGTATACCATATAACCTTCATAATAACCAAGATACAGAAGGTTTCTGTCCCCTCCACTATCATGAGTACTTCCCAGTGACTTTTCTGTGACTGGATTTGATCTGCCTTTGATCAGGATTTCATATAAATGGGTTATATAATAAGTATTGTCTGGGGTCTGACACAAACTTTCATATTCTTTGTATCTCTTTTTGTTTGTTTGTTTGTTTGTTTTTTGAGGCAGGGTTTCTCTGTATAACATCCCTGGCTGTCCTAGAACTCATTTTGTAGACCAGGTTGGCCTCAAACTCACAGAGATCTGCCTGCCTCTGCCTCCTGAGTGCTGGGATCAAAGACATGCACCATCACCGCTTAGAGTTCTCCTTTTCTTTTTATTCCTGAGTAGTATTTATTGTATGGATAAATCAAAATTTAAATATTCCAGTGGATGGCCTTTGTGTATTGTGAATAAAGCTGCTAGTGAATGTTTGTATTCAGGCATTTCCACTAATACATAGTCTCACAGTTCCCGAGTAAGTAAGGAAATTGCCGAATACTGGGCTGCATGACAATAAGCTAAATGTTATATGAAACATTTATTCCACTGGGCATTGTTTGTCACTATGAATGATAGCTGTATGTAGTTGCTTCACATTTCCTCTGACACTGGGCACTGGCAGTTTTACATTTTGGCCATTTGAAATGTGTGGTGCTGTTACTTCATAGTGTAACATGCATGTCACTGATGACATGAGCTTCTTCACCTGCTCTCTGGCCAAAAATATGTATTCCTTGTGACTTGTCAGGACAAACATGACTTGTCAGGACAAACGTATCTTAGCCAACCTGTACTAGCATCCTAGTAGATTCACAAACACTACACTTTGTTTTATAACTGCCATTGACCCCAATCCAGATACCAGTACAGGGCAGCTCCTTGCACCAGTATGTGGCAGATGCATTCATTATTAAATAAAATGGTTAGGGTGGACCATCCTAGGGCTCATGTTCATTGGCAGAGGTTATGCTTGGGTTGGAGACTTTCCCAGTCACTAAGGGACTTGCTCCTTAGAGCAAGAGCAAGGTGGCTTTGGTTTTCAATTGTGTAACGTGGTGTCTTCCCGCCTGCTGCTTGGGTCCCATTGCCAATTTGGTTCCCAAATAGCACACAAGTCACTATATTAATTATGAAACTGCTGGCCATTTTGCTGTTGTTTCGCATTGGCTAGTTTTGACTTAGTTATTAACCCATAATTACTAATATATATTTTTATAAGGACTTATCTTTCCAAGGATGCCTCCTGACGAGTCCTTTTCTCCCAGGAGATCTCATGGCGATGACTCTCTACTCTTGACTACATTTCCCAGCATCCTCTGTGACTCCTGGTCCCACCTATTTTGCTATTGGCCAACAGTGCTTTACTCATCAGCATATACACAGAAGGACTTCCCCCATCACAATTGTTTTAAATTTAGTGATTGATATTCCTGGTAAAACAAATATGAATTCATAGAAAAATGAAATGCCCACAGAGAAATATAAGCTCCGGTATGTATAGATTCAACAGATATATAGTACCTGGATAAAGTTGCCATTAAAACTTAAATGTTCTCTTGATTTTCATATTTTTTGTTGTGGGTATAAAAGGGAATTTTAGGGCCTGGCCAGGAGAAGTGCTGATGTCCTGGGTAAGAGGGCAGGAGTCCCGTGTTAAGTAGGTGGAAGTGTGGCCCCTCAAAAGTCCCTGCGGCTCAGTGTGACCACGGGGTCGGATGCTGATGATAATTTAGCTCTTGTTTTCTGGTTACTGGGGAGCCAGGGGATTCTTAAAAGGATAATGGATGGATGGATGATGTCTGTGTGAAGAGCTTATAGTTAGAATACATTGCTGTCAAGGATTGCAAATGAAGGCCCAGGGGTGGTTTTGGAGGAAATAGAAGAAAACAAGCCCATATCCAAGTTTAGACAAGTCACGATGTCCAAGTTTCTGGTAGATGCTTTAGAGGATGCAAGAATTTAAGCTAGTTGGTCCCTCAATGAATAATCCCACAAACATAAATCCCAACAGTGACCCCCAGTACTGTCTTTTCAGAAACCACACAGATTGAAGATCCGAGAAAACAGTGGCGGGGGGAGCAGGAGAAGATGCTCAAGGACTATCTCTCCGTGGCCCAGGATGCACTCAGGACGCAGAAGGAGCTGTACCATGTGAAAGAGCAGAGGCTGGCCCTGGCCCTCGATGAGTATGTCCGCTTGAACGATGCCTACAAGGAGAAGTCCAGTTCTCGCACAAGCCGTGAGTACAGTGTGGCTGGCTGGTCACACTCCAGAACTGAGATGAGATTCTAGAGAGGCGAAGGCCACTCACACTTTTGTGGAGTTAAATTCTGAGCCTGTTCCCTCCTAGGCAAGAACTCCTCCAAGCCATGAGAGCTGAGGGCGACCCCAACAGATCACACCCAGAGAAACGCCCATCTCCACTTGAGCCACAAGTCTCCCCACTTGGACACTGGGCTTCTGTTTCTCCTATTGCTTCTTCCCAGTTGCCTTTTGTTTGAGTAAATTTCTCTCTCAGAACAAGGAAAGGCGCTGGAGGCATCTGATGCGTAGAACTAGTCAGAGAGTTGTGAGCTGCCCGATGAGGGTGCTCGGGACTGAACTCAGTCCTGTGGAAGAGCAGCAAGCACTCTTTGCAGCCCAAATTTGAGCCTTTTGAAGGTGACTTTTGCTCACTGTTGCTCCTAGGGAGGAACTGGGACTGTTGGACCTCAGTCCCTTCCCTCTCCTCTATTCATGCGTTAGTCATTGGGAGCTGGCCCTAGTTAAAGACACAGCTTTGATAGGCTCCGAAGTTTTAAGACGTAGCCCCCTAAGGAGCTGTGCCGCAGAGCTCTTTAAGTACCCAAGACAAGTTCCTTTCAGTGTTTTGTATCCTGAGGTTTTGTTTTGTTTTTAATATGACAAAGGCCTGAAGAGCCAGGCCTAGTGGTTCATGCCTGTAATTCTTGCACTTGGAAGGCTGAGGCAGGAGAATCCCTACAACTTTGAGGCTAGCCTGAGCTGCATAGTAAGACTCTGTTTCAAAAAATAAAATAGTCTTGACATAAGTGTGAGACCCTATCTCAAAAGAAGATAGATCTTGGCTCGTGTGTGTGTGTGTGTGTGTGTGTGTGTGTGTGTGTGTGTGTGTGTGTGTGGTGTTTGTTTTATGGGGACCAGGAAAGGTGCTAAACCCTCTCTCCAAGTCTCTTGCTTTTTATTTTGAGACAGAATCTCACTAAGTTGTTAAGGTGTCCTTGAACTTGCTTGATTTTGTAATCTTTCTGCTTCAACATCTCATCTAACTGGGATATAGAGCTAGCTCCATTTTTCCCCCAGCATTTTCCCCCAATACCAGGTCATGACCCAAAACCTTACCCTTTTTTGGCTTTTCGAGACAGGGTTTCTCTGTATTGTTTTGGAGACCTGCCTCTGCCTTCTGAGTGCTGGTATTAAAGGCATGCACCACAAAACCTTACTTTTAAAATCAGTAAATTCCAAGCTTACAATTATTACAATTGACAAGTAATATTTTTTCTCTCTTAAAAGTTTTCTCAGGGTCTTCATCCAGCACTAAATACGATCCTGATATTTTAAAAGCTGAGATCTCCACCACGCGATTAAGGGTAAGATTGTCTTCATTGTGGGTCTTGATTGAGTAAGTGCACAGAAGCTCGGGCCATGGAGGAAGCATGAGTGACTGTCTCCTGTCTCTGCCTCCGAAGGGAGCTTCTCCACTCTGCCCAGCTGCCCGGCCTTTCTCCCTTGTTCAAAGAATGGTTGGGATTACTGTTGTCTCCCATCCAAGTTCTAGCCAGGCCTGACCCTGCTTAGCTTCAGAGATCATATGAGACCAGGTACCTTCAGGTAGCATGGCCATAACCTGGGATACCTTTGTTGCCATAGCCGGCTTTTCTTATTAGCAGTTAGCATATGCAAGGGAAATCTGCATCCTGATAATTTACTTTCCCCCTTTGTCTTCCAAGACAGTTTGCTCTTTGATCAGATGCCCTGGTATTTAAAAACGGGTCTGCAACTCCCACAGCCTTGTAGGTCTGTCATCCCTTCTGAGGATGGATTATTTCCTGACCATTGCTCTAATTATTTCCATCAAGCTGCTAAATACCGATCTTGTTTACCTTGATGGGGGGGAGATCTTATGGACGGTTTATGAGCAAATTGCAGATCATCATCATAACCACAGGTGTCTCCACTGCGCCCTGTCACATTGTCTCTCATCGCCATTTCCGCTAGAAGCCATGCTCACCTTCCAGCACTGAGGCCAATGCTTCTGTTAACTGGAATGCTTCCCATGTATGTCGCTCCATTTTTCCCCCAGCATTATTTCAGGATTCATCCACATTCACTTTTAAAGCTAAGTAGCTATTTTCTTTGGCAGACACATTTCTCTGTTCTACCACAGACGTGTATCCTGGTCATTAATAACTATCTCTGTGTATATATCATACATGCTTTTAGTGGTTTTTTTGGGGGGGGGGTTTCGAGACAGGATTTCTCTGTATTGTTTTGGAGACTGTCCTGGAACTCGTTCTGTAGACCAGGCTGGCCTCGAACTCACAGAGATCCCCCCTGCCTCTGCCTCACAAATGCTGTGATTAAAGGCATGCGCCACCAATGCCCGGCCTGTGTTTTGTTTTTTGAGACAGGGTTTCTCTGTGTAGCAGCCCTGGCTCTTTTGGAACTCACTTTGTAGACCAGACTGGCCTTGAACTCACAGAGATCTGCTTGCCTCTGCCTCTCCGGTGCTGAGGTTAAGGGCATGTATCCCTGGCTACATCTACACATTTTTAAGACACGGTAGAATTGGTGTATCAAAGAATGAACACATCTTTTAGTAGGACTAGCTTAGTTGGAATGTTTGCCTAGCATGTCCCTCAAGACAAACAAGCCAGCAAAACCGTCTGTTTTTCGGTGGGTATTGCCAGGGTTTTAACTGTTCTTGCTTCCAAATATTTGCATTAAGGCTCTAAGTCACTTAATATCTATGACCTTTGCTTACATTCCATAGGTTTGAAGTTTGAATTTTTACTGTCATGTGTTCCAAATCCTTGCCGGCCTCTCTGAGAAACCAAAGATATAAGTATATTGCTTCATTTTCAAACAACTGGAGTTTTTACTACTGTTACTTATTTCAGACAATTCTACTCACTGTTTCCTTTTCAATGGTTTTATCTATTGATTTGGTTTCTAGTTTCCTTGCCCACATTCTGCACATTAATATGTATATTTTTGACCAAAATAGCCAAAGTACTTTACATTTCCATGCCTTGATTACTCCAGGGCCTGGATCTCCTGTCTTCTGGGTCCTTGGGTCTAGTCTGCTTTTCTGTTGGCTTTTGGTCAGTTCTTGATCCTTACACATGCTTGCTTCTTCAGAGTCACATAGTACGCGTGCAGTGGTACAAAGACAGCTTTAAGCTTTGGGCGATCTTGCATTTTGCAGAGCACTTTGCTTTGCTTCTTGTAGGGATTTGGGTTGGGAGCAGATGGTAGAAATCCAGCCAGAATTGGAAGAGACTAAATCCAGTCTTCAGTCCCTTTCTTAGGGTGGGTCGGCCTCCAGGTTAGCCATCTCTTAGGGCAGAGCTCTCAGAGCTGCCCATGGAAGCAGGACCCCCCCCCCAACCCCATCAGTTCATGAGACTGAACTCCCAACCTCCGCCCACCATTCTTGGATGCTCTGCTTACTGCATAGCATGGTCCTCAGGACAGAGCATCATATGTGGGTCACGGCTGGGCTCCTTTCACCCTGGGGGCCTTTAACATAGTTCTGTGGGCCTAGTGGCTCTCCAGTAGCTTCAGTTTTCCTTACAGTTTACTTCATGGTTCTCAGAAAAAAAAGCATGAAATGTCCGCCTGTGGGCTGAGGGTATAGCTCAGCAATAGACGGAGGGCCCTGAGCTCAGGTTCCAGGACAAAACAAACAAAACCCCCAAAGCACAAACTCAAATTCCGTCTAATGAAGTCCGGATTCTCTTCATTTAATTTATAAAATCTGTGTAGAAATGGCCTGTTGTCACCTCATAGTAAATAGTCTTCAGGGTGTCAGGGACCCTCTACTCAGACAGTGGTCTGTATTTCTCAAGACTGCTGTACAGTGGGCTCAAATGCTCTGTCCCATTTCTGTGTGCTATGAACGTTGCTACTGTGATTTGTTTCTTATTAGATAACTTATTTTGAGAACATGGAAATAAAGGCATTTTTGTTAAAACTCGTTCCTCCCAAACTCTACTACCAGTTCATTGTGATTTTTTAGGAAGTTACTACTGTCCTTTGAAATGTTAACCATTTTCATAATTATCTTTTGTGATACAAGTCATAGCCACAGAAGACCACTGTAGTCTGTGTATTCACAGAAGAAAATATTGAAACTTTTGTTTAAAAACAAAAACATCCCAAGGACTCTCATGCATTAAGAGGGTCCTGTCAATCAGGGAATATCAGGACACCTCTCCGCTGAGTGGTCACATCCCCAGACCTTTGGCAAGGCTTATATTGGGCCAGGATTTCTGGGCTTAATCGGGGGCATTATATATTGTACCTGTTCTGTCACCTCGTGACTACAAGGTGAGCCAGAGAGACATGTCCTCCTTGGGAAGGTGAGTCTGAAGAAGAGAATGTGAGACATCCTCACACTGTCATTATGTATTGTCCTCAGATAGAGGGACAGTTGAAAATGTGTTTTAGAAGCAGTCAGCGACTGCTGCTGCATTATGCTAGAGCCTGCTTTGAGCACTGTGGCTGGCTCTGCTAACTCTCTGAGTGTTGGCTGGGTAGCACCTGAGGAAGGGGGTGATGGCTGGGTATCACTTGGGGAAGAAGGGGATGGGTACCTTTATAGAGTCTCTGAGGTCACACAAGCTGCTTTCATAGGTTGGTGTCCAAAGGTGGTAATTGGTGAAGGAACTAACCACACCGCTCTGGCGCCCACCTGCGTTTTACATCACGCTGACAGTTTGGGGTATAAACAAGCTTTGATGGAGCAGTATTACCAAGTTACTGTGTGGCTTTTCCTGGGGAGATGTACGGGTGCCTAGTCACAGATAGGACATGAGTAGACCAAAACAACTGCCCTGACTTGGTCCATCCCAGTGATCCAGGGTCACACAGCAGGAACAGGGGTTACTTACCGAAGTGCGATACATCTTAGACAGATAAATCACCAAAAAGCCCAGCCCAGCACGACTGAGGGCTCATTACAACTGTATCTCTGGAGTCTCCTGTGCAATTAAATTTAAGGTTTGATTTGTAATTGTGAATAGAGTTGAAATAATTAAAATAAAACATTGCGCTTTAAGCAGTATTCTAAATAATGTAATAAAATCATATCGATGTGCTTGACATAAAAAATGCCATATGATATGAATCACTACAAATAAGGATTGACTTTTCACTACACATGAAAGATCTTGGTATTTGCATTTTGTATAAACTTTAGTTTAAAGAGGTACATGCCTATGATCCCAACCTGCTTTGACTCCAGAGCCAACCTGCGCAATCCTATTAGATCATCTCTCTCTCTCTCTCTCTCTCTCTCTCTCTCTCTCTCTCTCTCTCTCTCTCTCTCTCTCTCTCTCTCTCTCTCTCTCTCTCTCTCTCTCGGATTGTGTTCTGTACTATGATGATCATAGACAAAGCCACTGAAACCGTTTGCAAACCTACAATTTAAATGTTTTCCTTTCTAAGAGTTGCTGTGCTCATGGTGTCTCTTCCCAGCAATAGAACACTGGCTGGGACAGTCATCTGTAACATTCTGTCTTCTTTAGCTGGCTTCTTTGTCTCTGTAATGTCTTAAAGGTCTCTCTGTGTGGTGGTAGCATATATGAGAACAACACTCCTTTCTGGTGTTGGGGACCATACTGTACGTATTCTTCCATCAGTCGGTGACTATTTGAGTTGTAGTTGTTTCCATGTCTGTGAGACTGAACATCATGTATGCATGTTTGTGAAGATACAGTTTCCTGTCTCTGGATATTTTCTTGGTGTGTAATTGTTGGGTTATCCAATAACTTGCTGGTTATTTTTATGTGTTTGTAGAGAAGTTTTACATTATTCTTAGTATTTTTATCTTGAGACAGGATAATTCATAGGTGCTAATATACTTTTTCCTCATTGGCTTTATACAAATATTTATTGGAGTTTAAAAAAATATTTCATTCAGCCATCTTGTTTCTTATGACAAAAATCCAATAATTAGTCATCACAAATGGACCTAGCAGCACCTGGGGTTCTGATCCCCCCCCACACACCTTCTTCAGTTTACAAGTGATTACTTTGGTCTTCTTACCATCTGGAGTTGATACGACGGGTGGTACAGGGTAGGAGCAGTAGTCAGGAGAGATTCCAGAAGGAGCAGGTTGACAGTTGCCCTTTCTTGTCTTACAGAGAAGCCCCCACAAGACAATGGAGAGACGGTGAAAACGGAAGGCACTCATTAGTAAAATGCCATTTTGCTCATTATAGCTTTAATGCTGCCAGCTTCACCTCAGGGGCGAGCCTGGGAAACCTGCCCGTCTCTTGATCTTTTGGAACCTTACAGGTTTCGGATTTACTTTTGTTCCTTGTCATCCTCTCCGTTCTCCTGCTTTTGAAGTAAAACAGTGCACTAGCCTGCACGAAGTGAGAAGTGCTGTGGTTTCCAGTCATGCGCATTTGATCACAATGTCTTCCTAACTCTCAGAAATAACCCTGAAATCAATTTAGAATGTCAGTTGCTTTAGCTTAGTCAGTGGAGAACGCAGGGACTGTCCTGAGTCTCTTGCCTCTCACTTCATACTCTGGGTTGTGAGATTTGATTCCCCAGGGAACTGAAGCATTGAATTAGATAATGGTTATCACCCCAGAAGTTCTGGCATAAGAGAAAACTCCGACTCTGAGCTTGTGAAGGTCTATGCCTTCAGTTCTGGGCCAGGAATATCGACACTTCCAAAGTGGAAGAATGGGTCATAGGTTTCAGTTAGACCTCTTACTGTAGTTCGTTTTTTTGTTGTTGTTGTTTTGTTTTTTCGAGACAGGGTTTCTCTGTATTGTTTTGAAGGCTGTTCTGGACCTTGCTCTGTAGACCAGGCTGGCCTCGAACTCACAGAGATCCGCCTGCCTCTGCCTCCCGAGTGCTGGGATTAAAGGTGTGCGCCACCAACGCCCGGCTCTTTACTGTAGTTCTAACGGGAGCTTTAAACCTTCTCCTGGGATCCACCTGGTGTCTGCTAGATTCCCCACTGCTTTCAGGTCCCATATATCAGTATCGTATATAATTGTGAGACTTGAGGATGGCTGTGATTAGCATAATGCCTGGAACAACTGCCCGTTGTTACCTCGGTGGAGAGTGTGTGGTAGACGTGTAGACCACTGCTGGCTTAATCCTCAGGCTGTGCTCCACACTTGTGTCTTTTCATTTTGTGTCCTGTATGTGAAGGTGGCCTGAAGTGGAGCACAGAAGTAAAACCACGACCTTCCTTTAGTAGTGAAGAAAGGTGGGTCAATTACTACTGCAGTCCAAACTCACAGCCAAAGAACAACTAGAAAGAATGTCTGGCGGAAACCAGATCTGTTCTCACTTGTTAATACAATGGGAGTGAATTGTGTCGTAATTAAGAAATGAAATCCATTTTATTTTCAAATTGATATTTGAAATAAGAATCATTCAGGGAATGTACCAGACTCCCTAAAATAGAAAGGTTTGTGCTTACAGCTAATGTTAGATAAACTAAGTAATGTGGCCATAGACAATTCAGGTCAGCGTCCGGTGTCATTGTCATCCAGTACACAATAAAATCTGAGGTCACAGCTCACTTTTAGATTTTTAAAATTTCAGTTTTTATTAGGTGTGAAAGGAACATTTAACGTGAATCCTAACAGGTGTTGAGTGTTGAGCACTGAATTGTTGACTGTGAGTGCCCTGTTGCACAGTATATGGGACAATTTGTTACCATTGAGCAACAGTTGCTCTGCCCTCGCTCTACCCCTGGAAGCTGTTCTCCATCCTGAAAGTCTGACTAACTTGAGTACTTCATGTAAGTAGAACCGGCTACCACTTACTCTTCTCTGATTGGCTTCTTTTAGTTAATGTAAAGTCCTCAAGGCCCATCCGTGTTAACACACACTGCAGAATCTTCTAGCTTTTATGTGCCTGAATACTATTTCGTTGTGGGTGTCTAGCATATTTCCTCTATTTATTTGTTGATGGACATTTAGGATTTTCACTTCTTGTGTTACTGTGGTGAGTGTGAAGAGGGCTAATATCCCGGAGATGCGGAAGACTTGAAACATTTACATTGATCTGCTGTTCTATCCCAAATGATTCTAAGTACAATACTACGTTTGTCAGTGCGATACTGATTGGGTTAGCTCAATAACAGTTTTTACCAACTCTTTTCAAAGTTAAAGAGGTTTCAGCCCATCTCTCTGGGTTGCTATTGACTTTTTGTCATACCTTTTTCTGTTGTTGTTGTTTTATTTTAAATAGAAAGGGTATTGTCTTTGTAACAAAAAGAATGGAAAATGCTGTCAGGACACAAGCACACAAGGAATGAGCTCTCGATGGCTTGTGGCTAGTTTGACGTGCTAACGGTGAAGTCTTTCCGATGCACTGGGAATGCGCTGTCTCTCTTCCTGCATCTTCCAATCCAACGCAGCCACCCCCTCTCCATCAGGCCGCCACCCCCTCCCCATCAGGCCGCACACCCCACGTCGTCGCTGTCTTCTCTGAATTCTAATAGCATTGCTCTTGCTTCTCTTTGTAGTTACAAATTGAGCTTTGAAATATAATTACTTATATTTTTTCTGTGATAAAAAGTGCGTGGACACAAATCGAAATGTCAGCTCGAACTCTAGTGCATAAAATACTGGGTATCTACTTTAATCAGTATACTGTGCGTTTACACACAGATGTGGCTTACACGGCTCCTGCCTGTTTCCTTTGACACCTCTCTCTGTCTCTGTCTCTCTGTCTCTCTCTCTGTCTCACACACACACACATACTCACACACACTCACACACACACCTACACCCACTCACACACACACACCATGCTCTCCCCTCCTACCTTGCCCGTCACTCTTTCTGTTTACTTTGTCTTTTCTCTGGGGTTTCTGCATAATGAAGGTATTTGGGGTTTTACTGCCTGGGTGATGTCATACATTCGCCAAATCTCTGGGTCTCTCTTCTCTCTCTAATCTAGACACTTTCTGAGCATCAAGTCCGAATGTTGCACTTGACCGTAAATTTCCCCAAATTTAGTCTGCTCTTGGGAGAATACTTTCATCCCCCCTGGGTACCAAGCCAGGTACTTGAATGGGGTCTTTGCTACCCATGCACTGAGTCTGTCACCTAGTCAGTCCCCTGATTTCTACTTCTTCTGAGCTCTGTACAAGGCAGCCACCACCATGTTCTTTTAAACTCGTATAGCAGATCTTGCTTTAAAATCCCTCTGTTTCTTGTGTTAATGTGTTTTCTATTGGGGTGGTAAAATACCGTACCCAAAAGCAACTTGGGGACAAAAGGGTTTATTTGTCTCAGACTTCCATCTCTGAGGGGAGTCAGGGCAGGAGCTGAAGCAGAGACCGTGGAGGAAGGCAGCTTCTTACCGGCCTGATCTCTCCTCTCAACCTGGCTTACTCAGCCGGATTTCTCAGACCGCCCAGGACCACCTTCCCAGGACACCGCCCCTCCCACGTCAGTCATTAGTGAAGAAAATGCTCTGCAAACATGCCTGCTGGCCATGTAACCGAGGCCTTGTCTCGTGATGATTCTTCCAGTGGAAGCTATCTGGACGTTGACAGAAACCTAACCAGGACAATTCTCATTGCTCTTAGCCTAAGGTGGTCATCTTCAACATGACTCCAAGACTGGGTCTCAGACCTTCCTTTAACCTTCGTTCTCTTCCGGTGTGAGCCAGCCACAGGAGCACTCCTTAAGTCCCCACCCCCCCATCCCCACCCCCCCCACCCCCGCTTTAGGATGTGGACACTTGTCCTGCTCTGAAACCCCTCCCCTTCCTACCAAGGGAGTGCTCACTTCACACTACTTCTCCACGTCACGCCGTTCCCTCAGACGGCTCTGCCCAGCCCTTCACACTAACTTCACACCGTTCCCTCAGACGGCTAACTTACACCGTTCCCTCAGACGGTGCTGTCCAGCCCTTCACACCAACTTGGGCTCCTAACTCTGTGTATCTATCTCATCATATACTGAGCTTTTCTGCACAGAGCCACCAGTGTCCGGACAGTTTAGTTTCTCTGGGTGACTATTTCTATTGTACCTGACTCTGTGGTTCAGTAAGTATCATGGAGACAGGAGGAATAAGAGGTGTCCGTCTCTGACCCAGACCTGACCATAGTGGAAAATCAATAATTACTCAGAATGAGTAAAATAAATAGAAAATAAAAGATCAGAAACACATTAAAGTATGACATAACAGACTTAATGCATGAAAATAAGTTTCTGCTGCTCATGTGAGAACCTTCATTAAATTGTGACTAAACACCAGGCATTTCTGGTGTTCTGATCTTCAAATTGTCATGTCATTCTCACCATGGAAAGTAAGAATTAACAGGAAAAGGACCTCTGTCAGAGCGATAGCAACATTTGTGAATCACTGTTTTCTTAGTGCCCTGGTGGATGGTGGGGTTACCCGCGGTTTTCTGCAGCGTGCTGTCCCATGGCAGACGGTGCACTCTGGCAGCTAGCTCTTGAAGGATAGATACCCTGGGATAAATCAAGTGGGACAGTGGCGTGAGGAGGGTGATCCGAGAAGTCTGATGAAACGGTGACATGTAAACTAACTCGAAGAGTAAGTGGGAGGGGCCAGCCTTGAGAGACTTGGGCAGACGTTAGGCAAAGGGGTAACATGTGGGAGACCCCTGAGGCGTGGTCAGTGTGCAGATGTGAGAGGCCAGGGCCTGGCTGGCCATCCAGAGCCCAGGAAAGGAAGGGAAGAAGTCCAGGGTACAGAGTTAGAGGTACACGGTTACAAGTTCAATGTGACCCTGAGTGGCTGTGTCACAAAGCAAAGACCGAGATGATGTCCAGCTCCTTGCAGTGTTAGTAAGTGACGGTGAGTGGCGGTGATTATGTATGTCACTTATAGTTTAACTATAACGCATGAACCGCCCATGGAATTTATATGATAGAGAAGTGGTAAATATTTCTTAGCCTACTAATGTATGGTCTTCTGAAATAATGTGCTGTTACTAATTATTTGTAAACACTAATGGTCACCCTGATTTCTCATGAAAGGTTAAAAAGCTGAAGAGAGAACTCTCCCAGATGAAGCAAGAACTTCTCTATAAAGAGCAAGGCTTTGAAACGCTGCAACAGTGAGTATTAAAATACTAAAACTGACTTCACAGCAATTCAAAGCTCCCTAATAAAAAAATAGATATACCAATTACATAAGAGATTTCTCAAAGAAACATAGAAAGTAAAATGTTTAAAGCTCTGTGCCAAAAAGTCCAAAAGCAATCAACTTTAAAAAATACTTGGAAAAAAAATCTATACACTTTGAAAAGGTCTGAACTTTTTTCTTAATCTTTGAAGATGAGCCAAGGAAACAAAAGTGAAAAAACTTTGCACCCTGGACTGCCGCCAGCCTTCTCTGCCTTGATAGCTGCACCGGGTGGGCTGTTCCTGAGAGGCTCCGAGCGCCCCCTGGGATCCTATCCACCTTTCTGTCAGCCCCAGAGACCAAAAGGAGTCCAGCCTGGTGCTTCTCGAGGGAGTCAGGTCAAGTTAGGCTCTGCAGAGGGGCCTGCTGGTCCTCAGTTGCCACATTCCCTGGTTTTTTGCATTCCAGCTCTAAATGGGCTGGGCCACTGGGCTGGCATTAAGATGGGACAGGTTAAGGGGAAGTGTGGATGAGAAAAGATGCCTGGTTCTAGAAGAACTCATACCATTCCCAGCCTGTGAAGCCCCTGTTCTCCCTACTGATGGGGTTCATGCTAATCAAACCATCCCGAAATCTCCAGGCTAAAGATGGAAGCAAGAAGCTTATGGTTTTCATAACCGTGTGACCACAGAGAGCACCAAAGGTGTCCTAGAACAGCATCCAGGTGCTTTGTGCGCCCTCCTGGTAGGGCACGGCTGGGTGCCATCAGCTGCAGGGCAGTATTCCCAGGGGTTTTCCTGGCTAGTTTCATGTTAGGATAGGTTTCGAGTTCTTCACAGCAGCTTCCTCAGCAGTGTGTTAGCAGCGCTGGACCAACAGCAACCACCTCTCTGGGAGCAGCCCAGTCCATTCCTTTTGCCTATGAAATCCTAGTCTGCCTTCTGTTCTTAGGAAATCTCGTGCCATCTGAGGCATTCTCCCCATTAAGGCTCATGAATGTCACTGGCCTGCCATGGGCTGATTGTTCCTCGTGCTGAATGGTGACTTGTGTCTTGCAGTGCCCACCCACTGCTCTTGACCAGCAGTCAGACACATGACTGTAATCTCAGACATTTGTTGTTGTGACTCAGCCTGCTTGCCTCATAGAATCAGGGCGCTCACACCCTTGTAGGTCCGTTCACCCTAGTGCTTCTCAAAGCTATTGGAATAAGTGAGGAGGGCTGGAGAGCCCTCCATGCCAGGTGTTTTTGATGGCCTCTCTGTAAGTCTCCAGTTTAGACGTGCAACAGCCTGAGCTGGCTGCAAACTAGAATGACCTAGATGTGTTATCTAGTAATTGTTTATCAACATAAAGCAGGGCTTTTAAAGAGTGCCTCACAATATTTAGCCATATGGTAGACATTTTAAGACACATGAAATTATAAGTCGGGTCACCACCCAGGGTTAAAGGTTAGCCAAACTTGCTGGGTTTTGTTGTGTTGATGTGACAATACTCTATTGTTTCCAAGCAGTGTGCTTGCAAACACTTTTCATAGGAATCTAAAGCATCTTTAAGACCATGTCAGTGACATTCCATGAGAAAACAATAGACATCTGTGTAGAAATCCGGGCTTTCTCTGGGAATGAACCAAGAACAGAATCATACAATATCTAAGGGCAGAGACCTCTCCTGTTGACGTTAGGAATAGACAAACCAAAGCCTTTTCCTCCAGCCATTGTCCCCATAACACTAAAACACTGGATGAGAGCTGTGGGCCCCAAGACTACACTTTAAAAGCAAACCTCACTGCTAACTCCATGAAGAAATTTGTTTATTTATTTGTGGCTGTGGCAGGTTTTCTATAACATTTCACTTCTTCGCCATAGACAGAGATCTTTTTGATGAATCTTGAGTTTTAATGTGATTTATCCTTGAGATGTCATCTTACTTGGCACAACAGTTTTATGCTGGGTGAACAAGTATCTTTCTGTTACTCGGTTCATGGCTTCAAATTTGTCTGTGCCTGGCGGTAGAGTGGCTTGTGTCTCAAAGGACACCAGAGCACCCTGTGCTGCCTCCCCGGTTGGGAAATGATAGCAGCAAATCTAAAGCAGGTGTGGTTCCCATGCAAATCTGGCTCTGGGGAACATTTTCCAGAGAGGGCCTGCAAGTGAAAACCTCCTTCAGATATAGAGTAAACGTTTTAAAGTTTGAAAAAAAAATAGGGAAAAATAAAGCTTCTTTTCATTCCAACACAGAAAAATAAAAGCATGGTACTTCATTTTAAAAGCTGAAGCTGGCTAAGCCTATGGCTCTCTAGCGACAGCCACCACGAAACTAATAAGCCCTCAAGCCACGTTCATACTCTATAGTTGGTCAAAGGGGGAGTGAAAAGTGGAGAAGGAGCAAAAGCATGGAACTGAAAATGGGCTCCAAATGCAGTAAGGAAGGCAGCCGAGACACTGCCACCCGAGTGTAAAGCTCGCAGAAGTTTAAACGCGTAGTGTGGCCTTGCTTTTATTTTTAAATGACCAAGTGTGTTTCTGAATGAAGGGCACGCGTCACCGTTGCATACTGAGCATTTTCACAGGAAGAAGTCACTCTGGCTTTGGAAAGTCACTTTGACGCAGTTTCTGTTTCATGAAATGCCAGCTTGTCTCCAATTTTTGTTTGCTTGTTTTTAATTTATAAAGTGCTTGAAACCACCAAAACAGCGTTTGGAAACAGTATTTCTTTTTGCTAGTGAACCTTTTCCTGTATTAACCTGGTGAACAAAATTCCTCAAGGAGCCAAAGTTTGCACTGATAAATCCCTTCCCAAATAAGTGAAATGAAACAATATTCACAGTGTTGTTTTCATGAAGTATTCAAGATTACTGGTTGTTAGACTAGATTAGTGGTGGTTAGATTCCTCAGCCAGGGTCTGAAATTTTAGAATAGTCACCCTACTATCTGTTCTGTGTGGTTTCAGCATTAAATTTGCATGAGGTTTTTGGCCTCAGTTGTCCATCCATTTGGAAAAAGTGGCATTGGGATCTCCAAGGCCCACCTCCTACCCTAAACTCTGTGTGTGTGTGTGCGCGCGCGTGCGTGTGCACATGCGCGCGCGCAATTCTGTGACTCTATTGCCTACACTCCATTATCAAATGACCTTATAATAAAGTTTATTTTGCTAGGCTTTTAAAGGCTTAATTGCTTGTTCAGTAGCATAAAATATTCACTAAAACAGTACTTGGGGAGTCTGCATTATCTACAGACTGCACTTGTTTGAGTTAACCTTGTTTGGCAATGGGATTAAGATGACATTGTGTTTTATTCAGATGCACCCTCCACATTGAAAGTACATATTAATTATTAAGTGGCTTAGACCAGATGAGCTCAGAGTCCGTTTCTTGTGGTTTAGTACCTGCCATCTGTCTGAAGGGTCTGTTGATGAGGCCTGCAGTGGGCCTGAGAAACTGTAGAGCTGAGGACTGGTGGGGAGAGACCTTACCTGTGAGGAAAACCCAAGTTGTATCCTCAGAAACCCGACCAGAAGACCCAACAATTTCTTAAGAAGTCGTAGAAAATTTGGCTGAGCCCTTCCAAAACAGTCAGTGTCCAAGCCCTCTAGCCGGCAGTGGTAATGATGTGTGATAAACATGTCCATGGGGACGTGGGGCAGATTGACTCACTGAGGAGCTGTTACTCAGTACACACTGGTGCAGGAGCACATCTGCTATCTGTCTTCCTAAATTCGAACTCCTTCAGCAAGGCAAGAAAGTTCACCTCAACTCATAGCTTTAATAAATACCTTTTCGATAGCTGATAGAAAGGAGAAGCCACATAATCCAAATACTGTAAAAGATCCACTAGTACAAATAAGGGTTTGTCAGGCACTTACTAAAGACTGGCCATACTGCCAGCGCCCCGCCAGGTGTTGCTGGGGCGTCATGGCCGTGAACTTCAGCGGCTGCTGCTACAGTGTCCGTCCCTGCCAGTTTTCTCTCTTGGCTTACAGATAAGGCCGAGTGTGGTAAAGAACGGGTTGAACCAGAATCAGGAGCAGCCAGAAAAATGTGTTGTGCCCGAAAGTGGTAAAATATGATGTAGTGGATGGAGAGGGAGCCTGGCGGAGAGGCATGCAGTGTGTGGTGGCCGCCCAGAGCCGTGATGCAGAGTCATCTGCAAGGAAGAGACCCCGAGACCAGCATCCCCTCTGCACTTACCTTTTTAAATGTCTTCTCCTTCATCTCCTCCTCTTTTAATAGAATTGATGAAAAGATGTCTGGAGGCCAGAGTGGGTATGAACTTAGTGAAGCCAAAGCCATCCTGACGGAACTGAAGTCTATCAGAAAAGCAATCAGCTCAGGAGAAAAAGAAAAGCAAGATCTGATGCAGGTATGCCGTGGGGTGTCTGTCTGTCTCCTTGAGGCCAGGAAGCTCTCCTTGCTCACACTGATCATGGATTTACTATGGGCTTTAAGGAAGGCATGGAGAATGAGTTAGTTTCCAACTTGTGGTGTCCCTTGTGAGGGCAGGGCTCACATGTCCTTTTAGACTGAGTAGATTTGGGGGAGATAGAGCCTGGTTTTGGCACACCCCTAAACCCATTGGAAATAACAGAACTAGAAGGGAAATCCGATATTGGCTCTGACTTGAGCACAGTAACAAATATTTTACATAAAAATCCAATAACACAATTATGTACACCTAAAGATAAACACACAGCCACTCAGAACCAATTCCACAGCAATATTCTTTCTCCTCATACTGGTAATGTGCTCTGAGTTTGTTTTCCAGTATCTTCTATTTCATTGAAACATATTAGTCACAAGCTACCAACCTGATTAACTATGTCATCATCACAGCTAAGAAAAAAAATACTAATCATTTCCATTTTACAGAGAGAAAAACAGCAACAACTTGCCCACATTCACCAAATGTTTCTTTGTTTCTTTCTGTAATACATAATTTGATGTGTCTGTGTGAGGGTTATTACTGCACATATGCATGCATATAGTGTGTGTGTCTGTCCCTGTGAAAGGTAAGAATTAAATATTAGATGGCTTTGTTTCCCTTTCTCCTTTCCTCCCTCCTTAACATGATGTCCTCCTATGATGAGCTAGACCCTCCCATCCTCCTTGAACCTCCCATACTTCTTACCATGGCCAAGACTGCAACCAGAGGTTCAGTCCATTATCATCATGGTTCGACATGGTGGCGTACAGGCAGACGTGCTGAAGCTGTGAGAGTCCTACATCTTAATAGGCAGGCAGCAGGAAGTGGTCTGAGATACTGGGTGGTACCTTGAGCATATATGAGAGCCCAAAGCCTGCATCCACGGTGACACATTTCCTCCCACAAGGCCACACCTATTCCAACAAGACCACATCTCCTGAAGGTGCCATTCCCTTTAAAACCACCACAAGTATTAATATAAACTTGATATTGGGTCTTGCCTAGGTGTAAAGTTGTAAATTATAGCCCTTCCCAAATGAGATGTCTTACTATATATCTAAAGTGAGAGAGATCTCATTATAAGTAGTCATGGTTCTATCATTTCTGTTATGTTAAGTGAGCACTTCTGTAGTGGTCTGTTCTCTGTTGCCATAGCAAAAGACCTAAAGCTAGCAACCTTACAAGGACAGGAGACTTGTTTGCCTTTCAGTGTCAGAGGCTTAAAGCCCAAGATTATGTGGCCCCATTTGCAACCTGAGGTAAAGTCCTCATGTGGCTGGTATCACAATGACAGGATTGCACCTTAAGGGATGGTGTGGTGATATATTGTTTATGATCTATTAAAGGCGCTGGAGATGAAAATAGCAAAGCAGCCATACTAGTTAGCCATAGAAGCCAGGCAGTGGTAGCACACACCTTTAAACCCAGGACACAGGAGACAAAGGCAGACGGATCTGTCTGAACTCAAGGCCACTCAAGGCTGCATAAGAGTGAGTCGGTCTAAAAGAGGAACAGAGCTCACACCTTTAATCCCAGGACTCATGAGAGGTACTTAAGACAGGAACGGGGTCCCAGAACTGACACTCATTCTCCAGCCACACTGAGGATGGAAATGTGTTGATTCTCCAGTCATGCTGAGGAGAGGCAGCAGTCTGAGGCCGGGTGAGAGCTCTTGGAGACAGGACCAGCACTTTCAGCCTGAGGCAGAGTAAGAGCTAATGGCTGGGCTGCTTTGATTTTCTGATTTTCAGCTTGAAGCTTGAACTCCCAAATAAATCTGTCTCTGGGTCCTTCACTATTGTGATACAGGATAGATGGCAAGACACTCAGAGACCAAACCTGCGCCTTCTATTGCAGGGTGCTCTCTTGGGACTGAACCAGGTCTTTTCAGACCTGCGTTACCTTGTATTGACCCCTCCTCTTAGAGGCCTTGCCACTTCTTAGATTATCACACAGACAGTCTTCTACATGGACTCTGAGGGAGTGCACACAACCGTATTCAAACTACAGTGATCTCTATTGAAATAGAGAGTTGGCTTAATAAATCGTTTAAAAGTAAGAATTGCACATACTATGCTCAAGGCTGGAGCAATAACTCAGTGATTGAGTTCTTGCTGCTCTTGCAGGGGACCTGAGTTCCAGTCCCAGAACCATATCAGGTGGATTCTCGATTGTTCTTAACCCAGTTCTGGGTCAGACACCCTCTTCTGGCCTGCACACGTGTGGCTCTCACATACAGAGACACATACAAAACACACATATATATCAATACAAAGCTAGAGTCTAGGATCCACAGGAGAAGTGTGCGTGCTCTCACACACTTCCAGAGTCACATACTTGTGCAGAGGATACAGATGAAGTCGCTGCTTTCATCAGGACCGCGCCCTCCGTTTAGTGACACTATGGAAAGGGACTGTCCTCCTGCATGTTAGTCTTAGGAGGTGCTGTGTGCTTCTTGACAGAGTCTCGCCAAGCTGCAGGGGCGCTTTCATTTGGATCAGAACATGGGCAGTTCGGAGCCAGACCTGAGAGCTAGTCCTGTGAACTCTCACCTCTCTCTGTCCAGACAGACCCTTGATGCTGGGTCACAGACCAACATTTCTGGAGATGTAAGTAGCCAGAGGGCCTCAGGTGCCCAGTGCTGTCCTCCATGGGGTGGGGTGGGGGAGGGAAGGGGAGGGCTGGGGAGGGTGGGGGGGCGAAACAGGAGCTGGAGAGTGCATTCAGTGTCATCCTCCAGATTCATTTTAAAAGTCACAGCCGCACTTTTTCTGTCTAAGCGCCTAGTGGGTGCACACAGTCGGCACTTTCCCCGTTGTATTTCTTTACGGATGCCACTGAAAAGGTAGCATCCAAGTTTAACTTCTCCCCCCTACTCGGTTTACAGCCGTGTGAATTGGAGTCACTTCACATGAGCGTTAAGGGGACTCAGAAACAGAAAAGGTACTTTTTAAGGCTAACACGAAGGGGCTGGAGAATGCCTCAGCCTGGAACAGTATATCTTGCTCTCCCAGAGCCTCCCAGCACCTGTGCTAGGCAGCTCGCAACCTCTGACAGCCAGATCTGGCCTCCCCAGACTCCCACTGACACCGTAGACTCTCACAGACACACGCATGCACATGCGGGGGATTTGGGGTTTTCTTTTTGAGAAAGAAATTATTTTCATAAATTTGAATTTGAGTATTTGTGCATTATAGCTTATGTTTGAAAGTATTTCCTATGGTCTGTATGTTTGTCATTATTTCCCCCTCTCCCTTGAGAACAGCCATCCACAGTGCTTAGTTTTTTAGGTTCCCGGTTTCATCTATGCCTCTTAGATTCATGCACTGTGAAAATGAAGCAGATGTGTGCTGACAGTAGGCTTTACCTGTTTGAAAATTAATTCCTGAGCTTCTTTGGTTTACATTGCGTGTAGTTGTGAGTTAAATAATGGAAATTTTGGCAAAGAAATCAGTTCCATTTCGTAAATTTCATTGACCTATACACCCTTCATAAACTCTCAGACACCAGACACATTTGCCTGATATTTTTGTCTTGAATTTAATCTGGGGAGAGCGGTGCAAAAGTCTTTGATGAACCTGGGTTGAAGGACGCCTTCCATCCCCCGCTGAGGAAGTGCCTTTTAACTGGTGCTCCCGACCCACAGCCATTTTCTCCAGCCTTTCAATTGCTTGTGCTTCCTAGAAACAAAAGCAGTTTACTTCATTCATTAGCAGAGTTAATTGACTTTTTTCCTTCTGTTTTTACTAGATTGGGGTGCGGAGCAGATCAAATTTAGCTGAAAAGGTCAGGCTGAGTCTCCAGTACGAAGAAGCCAAGAGAAGGTGAGGGTCAGGGGCTGCCTCGCTGTCGTCGGGGTCTTCAAGGATGGTCCTTTGAGGGTTAACCTTGCTTTGACCTGTAAACGTTGCTTTCTGTCTCCCAGCTGAAAAATTGAAAATTTTTATTTATTTTTTTATTCATTTAGTGTGTGCGTGCGTGCGTGCGTGCGTGCGTGCGTGTGTGTTTTGAGACAGTGTTTCTCCATGTAACACTGTGTGTCTTGGAACTCTGTAGATCAGGCTGCTTCAGATCCACCTGCCTTTGCCTCCCAAGCGCTGGGACTAAACGAGTGCACCACTGTGCTCAACTTGAATAAGGAGAATTTAATGAGAAGTATGGGATAAAAGTTTCCCCTTCCCTTCTGGGAAAAAAAGTTTTGAGCTTCAATAATGCATCCAATTCAGAGTGAAATGTGTTACTTCCTAGATCAACACCCTGTGCAGTGTCCCCGTCCTGTCCTGCACCTTTGTTGGGGACTTAACCTCTGGGTGGCCCTTTGTCCCTAAGGCTTCCTACTGCTACCTAGGAGGTCCTGCAGGTCTGTTCCAGCTGACAGGTCAGGGAAGGTGGAGGACTCTCTCCATTACCTCGTAAGCTCTTGTCTTCACATCTTTCTAATTCCTTGTCTCTGCTGGGTAACAGAACAAGAGACCGCAGACTCCTAATGCATCAGGTCACCTCATTCTGAGGGTGCCGGTCATTCTGATACCATTGACTTCCTTATTTTCCTTTTAGAACTTAAAAATTCCATTGATTCCCATCATTTAGGAGACAGTAAAAGAAATTGCATGGTCACCATACAGGAGACCAAGGGATTTATCTTGTTCCCCCTCAGACCATTGGTCTCCCAGAGCATTGTGGCTCCTACACAAGGAGGACCCCTCAGACCCTCAAATGTGTCCATTATTCCTAGAGCTAGCCAATTTTAATGTAATTGACCATAGGTCCTCTAGGTTATCTGGCTTTAACAAAGTGAAATGAATATTATTGCAATGTTTGCCTCTGTGTTTGCCAGTGTTTCAAATAGTGCTTGGGTCTTCAATTTACTGAACAGAAACTCAAGCTTCATTCCACAAATAATTAACCACATGACCTTGAACAAGTCCCTTGGTCATTCTGAGTGACATTTAACTCAGCTAATTTTAATGTCTTTAACTTCCCCCAAAAGATTTTAAATATCTTGAGGGTAGGAAAGCTTTTTTAATTATATTATCTCCTTTCCAGGAACAGAACTGACGCTTGCCTTCAGTAGATTTTGAGGGTTGATCTTTGCTGTGGAGGCTCAGTGATGGGGCAGCTATTCCGGGGTGGCATGTTCTAAGGCCCTCTTGCTGTCAGTGGTCCAACCCCGTAACAGCCAGAAGTCCTCTGCCATGGGTAAAGCCCACGATTTATGTCTGATTTCTGAAGCTTAATGGCCACAGCTCAGAACTCCAGAACACCAGGGCTTGCAGCATGGCTTCCCATGGACGTCACCTTGCTGCCTTTGGGTCACCTTGACCTAACCTTTCTCTCTATGGTGACCAACAGTAACAGTGAGTTACCTCTAGAGCTTATGTGACATCTCCCTTACGAGTTCCTGGAAGTCCACTCAACTTTCTCCCTGCCAGATATGTGTGGCCATTCCAAAATAAAATCCAGTGTCTACCTAATCGTGTGCCCTCAAGTAGTAAACAGATGCCTTCCTTCCCCATACCTTGCTGTTACTCCGAACTCAATCGACTACTTTGTTCACATCAAAACTTAGGCCAATGCTTCTTTGCCATTTGACTGCACTGGTGTGTTACTTGGAGTTGGTTTCAGGGTTTCTGGTGATGCTGCCTGGAAGGCAACTCTCAAGGGAATTTGTGTATGTTGAAAATGCATTTTCCTCCTCAATTCTTAACAGGAGAGGGTGTGAGTTACTCTTCCCTGAACCCGTTTTCTCCTCCAGCTTTTGTTTTATATGCTCAATGAGGGTAATAATATCATGCTTATTTAGCAATTTGATGACTAATTTTCCAGTACTTTGAGACAGTTGTTTATGGTTTTGTGTTAAAACTGAAGAATAGCCAATGTTATATCCACGGTAAGTGCAGACAGGAGGTAGAAAGAGAAGGATACTGCATATGTGCCCAAGATAGATTTTTGCTTTTTAACAAACCACAACAGGAAACCTAAGGCACATGGGTAACCTACTGCACATCTTTGCTTTGAGCTGTTTTTTCATAGTAATTTCTTCCTTTTCTTTATAGTTTCTTCCTAAGAAACAGGAAGATCATCGCTTTTTCTATCTTTTTCCTATGTGGTGTGTGCTGCCGCAGTATCCAAAGCAGTCGCCCACTGGTTTCTGTAGGGATATGGGTTTCCTGTGTCAGTACCGGTGGTGCCTGTAGTTTACCTGGGTCTTGTGCACCTTATGGCTGTTGGGCCATCTGCTTTCAGCTTGTGGGAAGTCCTGGTAGTTGTCATGGTGCTGCAGGGCAAGTCATTTCATTCAAGAGATCGGTGTTTGGGAGTCACGTAACTTAGACCATCTGTAAGTGGCTTGTAGACTTGGGGAAGTCCCCGGTCAGCCAAGACTGACGCTAGAGGCTTCACAGTGGAACGTTCCCTCTTCTCCATCCATTTCTCCTTCACTCCGTGGCTGCCACACCAGCCACCCCTGCTGGTTCAGGTCCACAGTGCCTGCCCCTCTGCAGCCAGATAACCAGACAGGAGCACAGGTCAGAAGCAGCAGCCCCTGAGATGGCACGAGATTACTCCACAATGAGTGCTTACTGCGCAGAGGCCCCACGGAGGGGCAACTTCCCAGTGTGAGATTGAGAAAAGTGGGGTGGAGGAAGCCAGGCCCTGCCCGTCGTCCTTGGTGATACTGAGACCTTAAAGGATTGGTGTTGGCCTTAATATGATTGACCAGGTCTCCCCTCGATTCTCCTTTCTTCCTTCTGTGACCCGCTACGACCTCAGTTTCTATCCAGCGCTGGAAGTCATCTTTGACTGGGGGACAGAAGCTTTACCCATAGGACACTGACCTACAACCAGGGCATATTGGGGCACCCTGACATGTGTGGTTTTTTTTTGTTGTTGTTGTTTTTTGTTTTCCTTCGAGACAGGGTTTCTCTGTACTGTTTTGGAGGCTGTCCTGGAACTCGCTCTGTAGACCAGGCTGTCCTAGAACTCACAGAGATCCGCCTGCCTCTGCCTCCCGAGTGCTGGGTTTAAAGGCGTGCGCCACACTCGGCTCTTGTTTGTTTCTTAATGGAAGCTTCTAGCAGGCCCTCGCATGACTCCACGCACCTCACGGATGCCTGCCTGTGGTCCTCTCCTTTAGACACTTCTGTTCGCGTGACCTGGAGTGTGCTTGCCCTCTGGGAAGATGTAGATTGCAGCTGCACCCAGACACAGCCTGGGCTCGCATTCCCATTTCCTCGGAGTCCTAAACACGTGTGTCTTCTATGTCTTTCAGCATGGCTAACTTGAAAATTGAACTGTCAAAGCTGGACAGTGAGGCCTGGCCCGGGGCCCTGGACGTCGAGAAGGAGAAACTGATGCTGATCAATGAGAAAGAAGAACTTTTGAAAGAGCTACAGTTCATCACCCCGCAGAGACGCACGCGGGACGAGCTGGACCGCCTGGAGGCAGAGCGCCAGCGACTGGAGGAGGAGCTGATGTCCTCGAGGGGCTTGCCAAGCCGGGCTCTGGCTGAGAGGTGTGGTTATTTTCTGGGAACAGGGTGATTTGAACCTGTGGTTGTGTCTTACAGTGACAGTTTCCTGGGTTTGGAAATCTTAACTGCTGCTGTTAGTGGACTCAGAAGCAGCGCAAAACAGTTTCCCTTTTGCAGAGCAATGAAGCTCGCCCTCCTGTGCCCCGTATCAGTTCCTCTGAGTCTGTTAGGACTGTGAACGTGCTCGTGGCAGGCGTCTAGTAGCTAAGGAATGCTGGCCTAAATCAGGAATGCGGCCCGTCCCTGAGCAAGTCTGATGGTGATAGCTTAAACTGTTGCTCTGTGAGGGAGACAGTCTAACTGTCCATACGGCAAGGGAGCCTTCCTAGGTTCCTTCTCCATACTGACAACAAGTCATGTGTTTATTGCTTTTAATTTCAAAAGGAGAGGAACAGACAGCTGGCTCTCTTTGATATCTTAATCAGTCGCAAGATGTTCCTTGTCTGTGGCTTGTCAGCTGAAACCCGCTTCTGAGGCAGAGGCAGAGGGAGGCAGTCATTCCGAGCAGTCCTCTGATTTTTCTGTGGGAAGGTGTGAGTTGTTTATTCTAAACTATCCAGTGCCTCGCACACCGACAGGAGTGTTAATCAGAGGACACACGCCTGCAGCACAGCCCTGTGCCTACGTAAATCTTGCTGCCTGCTGGGACAGCGGGCTTGTCTGGTGGCAGACTGTGGCCCCTCAGACCCAGTGTGCATTCCAGACCAGCACAGGAGCGGCAGTGTCTGCCCCGACCGACCCCACGTGTGTCCCTGCTGACTAGAAATAAGTTCAGACATCCATCCAGAACCCAGTTTCTTTTAATTTTATCATTCTCTGTCTCTTGCCTCCTAATCCCTATTTGTCAATAGCTGTCCAGAGCTTTAAATGTTAAAATATTTTGAAAGTATGGTGGGGAGGGAAGACCACCGTTGATGATTAGGTCTTAGCATGCGCGTGTTTTGAGTTTAGTCCTGGCGATGCTTCACGTGGCTGCAGCATCCCCGTGTCGGGGAACGGAACGTGAGCAGGTACCCAGGGGAAGCCCTCTGCAGGCTGCACGCATTCGACCTCTCCGTTACCTCGTGCCCACCTCTCATCCACCTTCCTTTGCTCTCTCTGTCCAGTGCTGACAGAAGAGACAGTTGTAGGACCAAGGCACGAGAATAAGGAGAGGGGAAGGGGGAGTCACACTGGTCTGCATTTGTACAATTTCCCGCAGACTCAGTAGTGAATGGGATGGAGCCGGCAGCCTTTGGGGCTCCCTGTGAATAACAGTGCATTTCACACTGCAGCACTTGCTAAACAACATGGGTGGTCGTTCTCTGTGTGTCCCAAGGGGTTGGTTCCAGGACCCCTTAGATACCCAAACCCACAATCCCCCTGTACAAATTGTGTGGTGTTAACCGAAAATGTCCCCTCATAAGCTTTCAACACTTTCTAGATTACTTACAATTCGTAACACAAAATAAATGTGATGGAAATACCTGTGATACTGTGTAGCTTAGGGACACACTGACAAGGAAAGGTCCATATGTGATCAGTACAAACTCAGGGTTTCCCGTAGCTGGCTGAATCTTTGATGAATAGAACCAGGGTTGTGAGTCTCTGCAGTATCCATGCTCGTCAGTATTCATGCTCGTCTAACGTGCTAAGTGTAAATCTCTCTTGTCCTTTGTGGCACATGAGTCTGGACAGGCCTCTGGTCCTCCGTTAGCTTTGTTGCCGGGAGACGAGGAGCGTGTTCATCTTATCCACATTTACAGGCACGCCACGCATCCTGCTTGTCTTTTTTATTGGGGATGGTTTGTTCCTGAGTGACTTCTATACTTTGCACACACATGATAACAGTCAAATTTCTAGTGGCAGGTTGGGACTCAGCAGAAGCAGGAGCTACGTAGTGCATACATAAAATAATGATAATATTTAGTGAGAAGCAGCTGTGGGGTTTGTGCCGTATGGGGAATAGGCAGTGCGGTCAGCTGACTTCACCTGCACAGAGAGAGCATCTGTCATTGACCTGATAGTAGCCGGGAGGGATGCGTCTTTCTTTTGCTTGTGTAATATGCTGATTTTCTGAGTCAAGCCACTTGGCATACCAAGATAGTGCATACAAATTTCCTTTTAGTGTCTGTGGTCAAGGGCAAATCCCACCGCTATGCTGCAGTGCAAGGGGAGGGATGCAAACGTTCCTTTTGATGGCTCCGCTCCCCCACCATGTTCACTGTTCCTGTCCCCGCGTCCTAAGGAGCAGACCTTGTGCTGCAGGTCCTCTCCGACCCTGGCAGACACAGCACAGCAGGCCCGACTGTCCTCGCTAAAGCTTTTGTTTTCTGTTCCATCGCACTCCGTCACCTTTCTCTGTCCCTCACCACTCAGACTCGCTTCCTACTATACATACTTATTTCTGCTAGTTCCTCCGGTCCAGCTGTCTTTGAACCTTGGTAAGAGAGAGCCTGTCCCTCTGAGCTGCGTCTCCTCCGTGGTAGAGCAGGTGGTGACCAGCAACTCCCTAGGAAGGAGAATTCTTGTCATATCGGGCACATGGTCAGCGCCGGGCTTTCTTGTTAGTGCTGACGTAATCAATGAAAGCTTGCTGCTGCCTTGCCTCAAGGTTTTCTGTTTCCCATCCTGTTGTGTGTTCCTCATTATTCCAGGGGTGAACTCAAACTGTGGTCTCCAAAGACACTAAACTCACATGGATTCTCAGGCATCCATGTATCTTTTGGACCCGGTTAGCAATAGCAGTGAACCCTACAGCAGTGGCAGACAGCTCCCTCTAGCGGTAATGGAGCCAATCTGCACAAGCCAGAGCTGTTCACTGATCAAAAGGGAAACTGCCCTCCAGTCCTTCATACTCTCAGCACGGGCATTCTGTAAGCCATGGTTTCTTGTGGCTGACAGATCTTTGCTGCTTCACACAAATTCCAGGGCTCACCAGAAATCATCAGTGTGCCTCTGTTACTTAAATGTTTTTTTGTTTGTTTGTTTGCTAAGGTATCTGAAGATTATTTATAACAAATGGGCTGGTACCGTGAATGCCATCTATTTTTATTTTTGAATGGAAGGAGACTGCTTCACTGTATCGATGGCATAAGTGCTGTCCCAGGTGCAAAGTTGTGAGTTCAGGACAGGCAGTGCTGAGGTAGAGACAGAGAGAGATGACGGCCGATGTGTTGCCAAGAGCAGCCTGAAGGGCGGTGAAGAGAAACAGGATGGATACAGGGTGGGGTTACTCTTTACGAGCCTCTTTCTCGCTGAGGCAGCTAGAAGGTCAGGACTGGGAAGGAACGTAGAGGGCCAAGCTCAGGAAGAGAACCGTGTTCATAATTCCCAGGGTGAGGAGGACCTTGTCACCTAGAGTCTGAGGAAGACTTGCAGCTGCCCTAGACTGACAAGGGTTGATGATTACATTAAGGGCAGAAGCTGCTGCCCCCCTAGAGATTTCTATGGCTTTTCACGGTTCCTTTATCACCCTTCAAGTGACACCAGCAAGAAGTTTGTATAGAGGAGAGAGGAAGAGCCAGTGCCCTCCTTCTGGGAACTTAGTGTCATCTGGGGAGCATGTGACCAAGAACACTGAAGTGGGGCTTTGGAGATGGCTCGGTCAGGAGAGTGTCTGCCATAGACCTGCATTTACAAATTAAAAAGCCAAGCATGGCTGCAAGTGCCTGCATTCCTAGTGCAAGGGTGGATCCTGGGGACTAGCCAATCCATAAGTGCCAGGTTCAGTGAGTCCAGGGTCTCGAAAGATAAGGTAGGGGCTGGAGAGGTGGCTTAGTGCTTGAGACCACTCGCTGTTCTTATAGGACATAGATGCAGTTCCTAGCACCCACATGGTGGTTCGCAACTGGTTGTAACTCCAGTCCTGGGGGGGGGGGTCTGGCACTCTCTTCTGATCTCCACAGGCAATGCATGCAGACAAAATAGCCATACACTTAAAAGAAAAAGAAATAAGGTAGAAAATGGTCTTCAAAAGATACCAGACATCAGCATCAGCCTCTGGTGCGCGCGCGCGCGCGCGCGCACACACACACACACACACACACACACACACACACACACACACACACACACACACACACACACACACACACACACACACACACACACATGAGAACACACACATACGAGAACACACATGAGCACAAAAGCCTGCAGGACCTGACACAGCAGCCCCTGAGAGTCATCATGGCCTTGAGGACAGAGGACGTCATCTTCCATGACGTGGTATTAGAGCCCTCAGAACAGGAGGAAATGTCTTTGTACTAATAAAAGGGACAGTTTGGAAACGTTACTGATTTCTGAAGTGTTTCACCTGTTGCTAGAGACGAGTTGTGGCACTGTTTGGGGCTGTCACCACACCCTTGTGCCTCTGATTCAGCTAATGTTTGCGTCCATTTTTCTTCCTGATTGACTTGATTTGTTTGAGGGACTGTAAAAAATAGAATGTGCTTCTTAAAAATGAAGTTATAAAACTTACAAAAGAATTGATCAAGGCGGTATTCTAGAAAATGGCAAGAATGACTTTTTCGTTGTAACATATAACGGAAATTGTGTTGTTGACACATCAAAGATATAGGTACCTTTAAATGAAATGAGTCTGTCCCCTCACTACCCAAGATATGCACACAATTTCAAAGGGTTTGGAAACTGGGGAGACATTCTTTTTCTCCAAAGCAATGTGGCTAATTGTGTATATCACCACCTTGCAGGGCTGTGAACAAATGTGATTGTTCTGTGACCTGTAGACCACTTTCCCATGCCTTACTCCATTTGATCCCTTTAACTGCCTTATCAGGTAGACACAGAAGGATCGTAATCATCATTCACAGATGAGAGAGGTGAGCCCTGCTAGCCGCTGGCTTGCCAAAGGATACTGGGCTCACAAACAGCAAATCCCAGACTGGGCACAGAGCACTGCCTTTCCTGATGACGTATCAGGCCCCTCGGCTGATGCGATTTGTGCAGGCACTAAGCTTTTCCTTGGATGTGTGACCTATTTTGAAACAAATTTGTTTCAAGATAAAATTCCCTGGTACCCTAACTGTATGATAATCTGCTCCAGGCGATGAGGCAGGATGGAGCTAGGAAGGCGATACTCTTGGACTTCTTGCTGAAAACGTAATGGCAGGCTAGCCGAGAGCAGCATCTTTCCCAAGGTTAACCCTCCCGGGAAATTAGCATTGGAGTGTTCATCGTTCAGTGCTGTTTAACAACAGTCTTGCTGAATTCAGTACTTCACTTCAGGTGGCCTTTTACCCTTCCTTACCATCGCTACCCAATCTTTTCCAAAGCCAACCTACAGTCCCGGGCTGTGCTTAGGCTTTTGCTACGGTCGACACTGCTGCTGTTTTCACCGTGACTGGGGCCAAATCATTTACCAGCCTAAGAAAAGTTTACACTGTCACCGTTTTAAAGTTGTCCTGGACACAACCCCTCCAGCTTCATTTACCATGGCTGCACAGCTTAGCCTCTTGGCGTCTGTTTTCTCTTTATCAAGTTCACCCAGGTGTGTCCCTCTTACCCGCGATTCTGGGATACTGTGGTTTTCTGTTGTTTAGCTTTGGTTTCTACATTATTTGAAAATTAATTTCTTTGGTTATTTTTATTCCTTTTTCTAGATTGAAATTAGAAGAGAAAAGAAAAGAGCTGCTACAGAAACTTGAAGAAACTACTAAATTAACTACTTATTTGTATTCACAACTTAAAAGGTAAGCTTCTCAGGTCCTGGCAGGGAGATGCTTCACAGCCTCCAGGCAGGTCCTGGCAGGGAGATGCTTCACAGCCTCCAGGCAGGTCCTGGTTCCTCGGTGGTTGGTTCTAGCTGCATTAAGTAAGCAAGTAAGTTATGCCTGTTAACTAATGTTTAAATTACCAAATTTAGAAACAGTTCCACCCCCATAAACTTCATATTTAAGTTTGGAATGCATTTTTAAATATCTGAAAACTTAGGGAAATAGCCTATTTCTGCCATTATCCCACTTTTAACCAAGCAAAATGAAAGAGATCTACTGTGAAATAGCCGCCTGTGACTTTCTTATACTGATTAGAATATTCACCCTTTTTTGTTAAAGATTTATTTATTATGAATATAACATCCTGCTTCCATGTATGGCTGCATGCCAGAAGAGGGCACCAGATCTCATTACAGATGGTTGTGAGCCACCATGTGGTTGCTGGGAATTGAACTCAGGACCTCTGGAAGAGCAGCCAGAGCTCTTAACCTCTGAGCCATCTCTCCAGGCCCCTCACTCTTTTTTTAATTGATTGATTTACTTACCTCTAAAGCTTTATTTATTTATTTAGTGCACAGTGTTCTGCATGCATGTTCTGCCTGCAGGCCAGAAGAGGGCACCTGATCTCATTAGAGATGGTTGTGACCCACCATGTGGGTGCTGGGAATTGAACTCAGGACCTCTGGAAGAGCAACCAGTGCTCTTAACCCTAGCCATCTCTCCAGCTCTAGAATGTCCACTCTTACATACGTGAGCTCATGGGTGTGTTGCCTTAGGTCTTCATACGTGCAGTTTCTTCCTAGCCACAGCAACTACACTGACACTCTGTCTTCTCGAGCATTTTTAAAACATGAGTGTGCTGTGGATGGCTCTGCAAGTTCACTTACAAATAGGCATTTGATTGGAACTTTTGCAAAAAGTGTATCACTGTAGTTGGGACATTGATCTCACTTTGTAGCCCTAGTTGTCCTGGAACTCACTATAGTATATAGACCAGACTAGACTTGAACTCACAGAGATCCACCTATTTCTCAACCATGAGTGTTGAGATCAAAGGTGTGCACCACTTTACCCGTATTTATTGTTGTCAATTAAAAAAAAAAAGGGCCATTTACTTATTCATTCATTTATTTTGGAGACAGGATCTCTCTGTGTAGCCCTGACTGTTCTGAAGCTGACTATGTAGACCAGGCAGGCCTTGAACTCACAGAGGCGCCTCTGCCTCTGCCTCATTACCACTGTGTATGAGGAGAGCAGAGTTGCTAATATCAGTGAGTGAGGAGGGAGGGCAATCGTTGTTGTAACAGCCCAGGCTGGAGATTTACGTCCCGGCCGGGCATAGCGTTTCCGTTCCCTTCCTGCCTGAAGGAGCCAGTGGGCATGTCTCTGTGTGTCTGGAGGGTGCCGATTTTACAGTGTACTGTTCTTCCCCAGCCTCTCCTCCAGCACACTGTCCATGTCATCTGGGAGCAGTCTGGGCTCCCTGAACACCTCCAGCAGAGGCTCCCTCAACTCCCTCAGCTCCAGTGAGCTCTGCTACAGCAGCCAGGCCGAGTCGATGGACGCAGACTATCAGTGTAAACTGGACTTCCTTCTTCAGGAGAAGGGCGGTTACATCCCTTCTGGGCCCATCACCACCATCCACGAACATGAGGTGGTCAAGTCTCCCAGCCAGCCTGGGCAGAGTGGACTGTGTGGGGTGGCGTCTGCAGCAACCAGCCACACTCCTCCACTGACCGAGGCCTCCAAGTCAGTGGCGTCCCTCTCCTCCAGGTCCTCTCTCTCGTCCTTGTCCCCTCCCGGCTCTCCTCTGGTCTTGGACAGCACATTTCCGGTGTCGTCACATGACACCCCTCTGCACGGGTTCCCTGTTGACCTTGAGGACTGTGGACTGAGTAGCCACTTTGCTGATATCAGCCTTAGCGAAAATCAGGTCTCGCTGGATTCGGATTTAGGAGCATCCCAGTCCCTCTTAGAGGACAAAGATCTTGATGAATGCACGGGGCAGCTGCTATATGAAGGAACAACAGGTAAGTGTAGATCTTTGCTCCCTCCCCCAGCCATTGTAGGAAGGGTTAGGTCACTCTTTCCACATATAAAGAAAGGGATGGCGGCTGGAAAGATGGCTCAGAGGTTAAGAGCAGTGGCTGCTCTTCCAGAGGTCCTGAGGTCAATTCCCAGCAACCACATAGTGGCTCACAACCATCTGTAATGAGATCTGGCACCGTCTTCTGGTTTGCAGGCAGAACACTGTACATAATAAATAAAAAAATCTTTAAAGAAAGGGTTCCCTCCTCATTATACAGGGTGTTCATTTAAAAAGGGTTTATTCTATACATAGACTTTATTTTTTCCTCTGTCAAATAAAAATTGACATTCCAGACAAGGGACATGGTTATAGCTCGGTGGTAGACAGCTTGCCTAGTGTGTGCAAGACCCTGGGTTCAATACCCCAGTGCCACAAAATGAAAACAGGTGCTGAGGAGATGGAGTCTGCTGTGCACGTATGAGAGTCGGGATTCAGATCCCCACCACCGATGAAAAAGCCACTGTGGCGGCTCACACCTGTGATTCCAGTGCCAGGGAGGCAGCAGTGGGAGGATTCTCAGGGTTTTCTGGCCAGGCAACAGAACCTGATCCGCTGAACTAAGTTCAGTGAGAGACTCTGTCCCCAGAAGTGAGGTGGAGAGTTACTGAGTAGGACACCAGTGTCAACTGCCGGCCTACTCATACATGCACACGTTTACAAGTGCCTTTGTACACAAATGTGTACACGCACACACTCAGAACGTATTGCCTTCTTGTATTTAATGGACTCAACCGTCAGTGCCTGCTCTAGTCCAGGGGTCCTCTGTGGGTGGTAGAAGTCTAGGATGTATTTTATGGGCAGCCCACATTTCCACCTGGTCTCTGGTTCAGAAATTGCAAAGAGACAAGGATTTTCTTTTTAAAATTGTCTTGGAACAGATGAAAACAATGTCAATTAGCATACTGGCTAATTAGCACAAAGGCTTGGTGTTTAGCTTGCTTGGGGCGTTCTCTGTAAACAGTTTTTGGTACGGGTCAGACTCCTCTCCTGCCCCAGTGACTTGGCCGCTGTAGTCCAAGATCCGGAGTTGCTCTGCCATCTGCTGGCTGCTCTCCCAGCTGCAGGTCCAGGAAGGGATGGGCTGATGCTAAGTCTGGAATGAGCATGTGTTCATTGACGTTGCTTTCCCCTGCATCGTGGAAGCTCGCAGTGCAGTGAGTCCTGTGTTCCGAGGATAGCCCGTTCTATGGCTAGCTTGAAGCAAGGTGGGAAGCAAACTATGTGCTGCTGGTGCCAGGAAGGCCTGTTCAGTCAGCATGTGTCAGCGTGGTCCACACCATGCAGAAAGGACAGTCTCTGTAGAACCCTGTCCTCGCTGGCTTATTTGTGTCCACAGGTGTAGGAATCCTAAGTATTAATTGATTGGTCAATTGAGATCTTTAAAGATGAACACAACCTGATTTAGGGGTTTCTTATGCTAAATAATAAGTGTCGCGTTCTCATTAGTGACTGGAGCAGAAATGGAGTGGAGGAGACCCTCCTGCAGCTCGTATGCCCTCTTTCAGAGATGCGCCGACATTACAGGTCACTGTGTTAAAGTCCTGCGCCCACTCACGCAATGAGCACACGGGAGAGGGCTCCCTGCAACAGAGAGCCTCTGTGGGGCCTCTGGCTGTGTCTGTGAGTGAGCACGCCATCCTGTCATTTAGACCCTCCTAGAATGGGAGAGCACGGATGCCACCCGCGCCGGCCTGGCTCACAGACGCAGTCCGTGGTAACTGTTAGCCTGTGTGGTGATGAGAGGCCATCACCACTGGTGTGCCCACTCTCTCCACACCACGCTGCAGGTCGGGGCACGGGGAGGAAGTGGAGTCGTGGTGGGACGGCCCTCCTTGCTTTTGTGCCTTCCCGGGTACGACACTTGCTGAGGACCTGTCGCGGACTCTGCCCCTTACGTGTTTGCAGTGTTTTCTAGTGAGCATTTCTCAGCATCCCATCATATGATGAACCCAGTACCCAATGGCAGATGCTCAAAAGGCAGGAGGGCCCCAAAACCTCGTCACGGGGACTGTCACCTAATGATCCTGACCCCCCAGTCATACAGGTGGCTCAGCGGCTGCCAAGGTCCCAGTACTTGAGTTTGCTAGCAGCTTTGTTGATGACTTTGTGGCTGGAGACAGGTGCCTGGAGGACGCTCCCATGGAACATTTTTTTTAACCTTTCATGCGTTGCACAACACTGTTATTAAAAAGGCACCCTAGGCCTGGCTGTGGCTCAGTGCTCGCCTAGGACATCTGAAGCCCTGGGTTCCGTCTCCAGTACCTCAAGAATGGCACTTGGAAAAATGCACACGTGGGCTTTGTTTGCAGTTAGCTTCAGTTTCCTGTCTGAAAACAATTAACCAATGAAGACTTCACTATTGAGACCACGGGAACGTCTTCCCTCCCCTTAAAGGGAGGAGGCGCTTGGAAGGACACTGTCTTCACGTCCTAGGGCCTTCCACAGTGAAGCCCAGTCCGTTCTCCAGACAGTCTGCTTTCGATCGGCACCAATCCCTGCCAGCTGACAGAAACCAAGGTGGAATTAACTATGAAGTCTCCCCGCAGTCAGTTTCTGTCATTGTCAAAGTCAGTTTTCAGACTGCTGCGGTTATTCCTGGGGGTAATCAATAAATCATGTCATCACCTTCACCCCTGGCAAGGGGGGGTGGGCCAAGAGAAGGCTCTTCATCATCAAGGGGAAAGCATTCCCGCTGCCAGAAATAAAAGAGAAAATGCAGCAATCAATCCTGTAATCTGAAGCCTTAAAACTTAAACATCTTAACAGAATGTAAAGCCACGACTCAGAGGGGGGCCGCAATGCATAGCAACACTGCTCCTCTGCCTCACTCACCAGAGGATGAAAGAAACTCCGCGGGCTTGCAGCTTATTACAGCACAGAGCGAGCGCAGTTTTAAGTGAATGCTCCTTGCTCCCTGCAGGGTGCTGGCGTATGAATATGAGTTAGAGATAAAAGTTAAGTGGTAGCTTGTGCTAAAGACTCAGCAGCACAGAAAAAGTTTTTGGGTTTTTGTTGTTGTTGTTGGTTTTTGTGGTATTAGCTGGTGAGAATTCATGTAAATCTAAGATGTTTTCTCTTTAGTTTCTGTTAGAAGAATGGCACAGGAGATGGGAGAAAGGGGCTTGTAGAGAGATGTGGGGAGCGCTCTCCCCTGTGGACTTCCTCTAGAAGGAACGGCGCCAGTGTTTGATGGGGGCGCTCAGTTGCTTAGCCAGAGTTTGTAGTGGTTCATGGAAGCTTGAAGCAAAGAAGCAGGCGCAATGGGGAGTTATTCTCCCTTGCCTTAAAATATTGTAGGACAGGGACCTGTGAGATGGGTCAGTGCATTAAGGTGTTGACATCCAAAACTGACGACCTGAATTCCATCCCACATGATGGAAGGAGACAGCTATCTTTTTCAGGTTGTCCTCTGAACTCTTTATGTCCCTCACACACACATACATACACACACACACACACACACACACACACACACACTCACCACACACTTATGTATTTCTTAATTGGTGGGCGGAAGGGTCTTGAGCTGATTCAGCAGTTAGGAGCACTTGATGGTCTTGCAGAGAACAGGAGTTCAGTTCCCAGGACCCCCATGGTGGCTCACAACTACCTGCAACTCCAGACCTGGGAATCCATCGCCACCATGTGGCTTCCATGGGTACTGCATGCACATGGTGCATTTAAGTAACCAGAACCCAGAGCATTTGAATCCCAGGATCTTCTCTCACCCCACCTGTTAACATGGGGGGGGGGGGTAACATTCTATACTTTGGGCTTCTATGGTGTGAGTACTTTACACTTTTCTCAATAAGAAACTAATGATGCCATCACTTTCTCCACCTTAGATGTGGAAAAGTCGTTGCCCAAAAGACGAGGAATCCACATGCGTGGAGACAAAATTGCGCGTGTGTCAGCTGCTGCCTCCGATGAGTCTGTGGCTGGAGACAGTGGGGTCTACGAAGCTTCCATGAAACAGTAAGGAACCTTCATGGCACACTCAGTCCCCTGCATGCTTGCCAGCCAGGCTCACGCCTACTGTAAGGTGTGGTCCCCACCAGGAACATTCTGCCAGCTTTGGAAATGACAAGCAGGTGGATGTCCTCAAGGCAGCTGTCCTGAGATCTCAGACACTGATATTTCTGGGAATTTTGGCGATCAGCCAATGCTTATTTGACACACGAAGGGCCTTGTTTAGGTGTCTGAAAAAGCCCCCTCAGACAGTGGGATCACCTCATGGGGCTCAGGAAAGCCAGATGTCACAAAGTTTGTTCCCTAAGTTCAAAGTCAGACTCTTGATGGAGCTGAAGAACCCTGAATCAGTAGCTCCCACAGGGGCCAGTTCCACAGGAGTGGGGTGGAAGGGTTGCCAGTTTAGTTTCCCTTCAAAACGAGAGAAGGCTGTAGCTGTAGCTGTAGCTGTAGCTTTCAGTGTCCCTGTTAACTGACTTCACATCTACCGCTTCTGCCTAGGCCTGGCGAAATGGAGGACGCTCCCTATCGTGAAGAGGATGTCACCATTGTGGAGACTGCCCAGGTGCAGATAGGACTCAGGTGAGCCAGTGAGGGTGGGGGAGGGGCCGGCCAACGGCTGTGGGTACCCCGCTTGATTCATTGCTTGATTCATTGTCTCTTCTGACAGATATGATACAAAAAGTTCAAGTTTCATGGTGATTATAGCACAACTCCGAAATCTTCATGCCTTCTTGATACCTCATTCTTCAAAAGTGTAAGTAACGTCAGAAAAAAATACAAAAAAAAAACAAACGGAAAACAAATTGAGGAGCTGGAAATTGTCTCTCTCCAGTAATTCCGAGGATGAGCAAACAGTTCATTGAAAGGAAAACGTGGGAGGGTGGGCAACTCAAGAGATGGCTTAGTGGGTTCTTGTTGCTGAGCTCTTGCTGCTCCTCCAGGGGCCCAGACTTGTTTCCCTAGCACCCACGCTGCACAGTGCCCAGTCACCCGCAACTACAGTTCCAGGAGACTGATTCCTCTTCTGACCTCTGCAGATACCTGCACTGGGATCCATACAGATACACACGGTTAAAAACAAAACAGGTCCTTTTTTAAAGATGAAGAGGTGGGGAGAAATAGCCGGGCTGCCTGTGTCTGAAGCAACAGTGGGAAGAGATGAGGAGAGAAGTTCAAGAAAAGGAACTAGGATTAGGTCGTTATCCAGATGGCTATTATTAAGGTTAGGACTTTACATACAGTTCCTTTCTTAGATCAGGGGCTGTGTAAAGAATGAAGTCAAGTAACTCTTATGCCGTTTATTAAGAAGTAAAATGTGTGCACAGTTGTCACAGAAGAGAATGGAGATTCCTAACTGGGTCACCAGCAGCTATGCCAACACTCCTGGTTCCTTGTTCAAAAAGGACTCATGCATCCCGCCTTATCTTTTGGTCCCTTCCTTCCCAATAAAAAATTCTACCCTTTGGACTAAACCATTCCTTTCCATTGGCTGGCAGACAGGTGACGGAATTCCCATAACAGTTGTGTTGGGTCCTGATTGCTGGAAACATGATTTCAGTTTCTATTATTGCATAGTAGTTACTACTGTTGGTTTGGAGGACTTTTTCTGATGTCATACATGACTATGTGGTGATTACGTGTAGCATTGCCACAGAAATGCCTTATGCCACATGAAAGAGCATGCTGTCACTTTCCGTGTTCACTTCCAGTGACTGGTGATGTCTCAGTTGCAGTTACATCACTGAATTAGACCAAGAATCCCAACAAAGTGCAGATGTAATTCTCCGCTGCCCATTGCCTCGGGCTGTTTCCTAAGAGCTGTTTGCTCTTTGCCACCAATCCCCCCTAGAACCAGTCTCAGCGACTCTCCAAGGAGGGCACGTGGCTGTGTGACACAGAATACGCGTCTACTTGGTCTGAACTTTCCTGGGATGGAGCAGCATTTTTTTAAAGTCGCACAGAAACCTGAATAATGACACTGCCGAAAGGGTCAGCCATACACAATACTCTGAAATGCTCTTTAGTCCCAACACTTTGAGGGTCGTTGTTCTCTGTTTAGCTTTAGTTTTCCTTCTTTCTTTTTTTTTTTTTTTTTACATTTAAACTTCATTATTTAAAAAACTACAAATAAGAAAAAGCATCACCAATCAAAATTTACCAGACCTAAAGGCTGCATAACTCCGAGAACTTGTATGCAGTTAGGAAACCATGCAGAGAGGAAGCTGTGGGGATTCACATTAGGTTTTATACTTTCTGCATCAAATATATGTTTATGCCCATAGCCAACCAACCAAAATGAAAACTCCGTAGCAGAGTTAGGAGTTACCTGTCTTCTCACGAGTCACGTTCCTTGCCTGCATGCAGTCGTTTCTCCTCTGTTATATTTGTTTACATTTCTACCTGTTAGACGGCCCACGTGTACATTTGTTTGTGCGTATACATTTATTATTGGCTAGAGTCTGCATATGGCCTCACTTAACACTATATATTCTGAGTCCATCCATTTTTCTGCAAATTTTGTGATTTAATTTTTCTTTAGAGCTGAATAGTTAGTTCTAGTTGGTCATCAGCACACGAATGAGTAATAAAAATATGGCATATATATGTGTGCGTGTGTATGTATCTACTATCATCTCTAAAGGAAAATGATTTTAGTTTTTTGAGACAAGATCTCATATATTTCAAGCTAGCCTCAAACACCTGATCCTCCCATCTCTACCTCCCAAATGCTGGGATTAAGGCCATGGACCACCATGCCTGACTCTGAACTTCATTTTACTACTGATTATAACACATTAATGTTGGTGTTCAAGTGGTTGGCAACAGCGTATTATTTCTTGAAGTGGCTTGCAGCTCGCCTGGCTCTGGTTGGCACGTGCCCTCATGTGTAGTTCCTTTGCCTTCCGTCCTCCTCCTCCTCCTCCTCCTCCTCCTCTCCCTCCTCCTCCTGCCTCCTAACATTCATCTATTTTTATTTTAAGTATAGGCTGTTTTGCCTGCATGTATATCTGTATACACACAGAGGCCAGAAGAGGGCGTGGGATCCCTGGAACGGGAGTCACAGACGGCTGAGAGCTGCCATGTGGGTGCTGGGAGCCGAACTGAGGTCCTCAGGAAAGCAGCCCCTGCCTTCACTTCTGGCCTATCGGCTCAGCCCTGTTTGGTGTGGAAACATCTCGAGATGAGCCATACGGTTAGATCATGGGTATAGAATACTGAAACCCGGAGACATGAAGGCAGAGTGGGTCTAAGACCCTTCTCCTGAGTCCCTCTGGAGAGCAGAAGCCTTCATCAGCCAGCGCTGGAGCGCAAGCCCTGGATCTTTGTAAACAACAAAATGAAAAATAATGTGACATTTTTAGTTATGGGTTTGAATTTATGGATTTCCTAACTAGACAGGAATGGGAATGGGAAGTGGAGAGATTTAGTGGATTTCTCTTTCTGAATTAGGAGGAAACTACCTCAGGCTACTCTGAGTCTTCCTAGATTGTGAGATAAGCTCCCCCGAGGAGCAGAGGCACCCCCCCACCAGCCTGCCTGCCCCGGGAACCGGCTGTTTCACACTTGCCTTTGCATTTACACAGCATGAGACCCTTCTGCGAGTTGTCACGTCTGTGCCTGGGGAGATGCTAGACAATGATATTTTGGAACTGCCGCTTCATCTGTTTTCCATCTTGTTAACAATATGCTCCTTAGCCTTTCTTTGTCTCTGGTAGGGTAATATATTCGTTCCCGGGCTTGTTCGTCAACAGTCTCTTGTTTGATGCTGGGGAAGAGGGTTCTGGGAGAGAAAGGCCACCAGAGCCCACGTTAGCGTGTCCCCACTTCCCCGACTCAGAACAACTTACAGCCCGTGCAGCAGTCCAGTGGTGACCGCAGCCCGGAGTTTGGTGTTTAGGGGCCCAGCGGGCACGGGTGGGTTAAGAACAGCGTCTGCAGCCGCGCACCGGCCCCTGTGGCAGAGATGCTGCCTTCTGACGATGCGCTCCCAGTTTCCTCGGCTCTCTCCTTGGCGGCTAATTGCGAATGAGAGCTGCGGACCCACGTAACTGGAGTCCTGGGAGACTCACGCCGCTCTGTTCTCCGCAGGTATTTCAGGGTTGCTGTGCTCCCCTCCTCGGCGGATGTCAGCTGTCTATTTCGAACAAAAGTCCATCCGCCCACGGAATCTGTGCTGTTCAATGACGTGTCCAGGGTGGCCATTTCTCAGGCAGCCCTGCAGCAGAAGACCCTGAGAGTTGATCTTTGCTGTGTCAGCAAACACCACAGGGAAGAATGCCTGGTAGGCGCTTCGTATTGGCTCTCAGCACACGCCATGGTCCGCATTCTGCAAAGCTCTTCTCTTCTTACTGCTTTGCCAGCAACGGGCACTGCTTTTTTTTTTTTTTGGCATTTATTTGTTTATTTGGGTGTGGGTGTGTTCATGTGCCAAGCCATGTGAGGGTGAAAAGGTAGGTAACTCAGGGAATTAGTTCCCTGCTGTCACCACGTAGGTTCTGGGGATAAAACACAAGTCACCTGGCTTGGTGGCCGGCACCTTTACCTGCTGAACCATTTCACCGGCCGTTAGTCTTTTTTTCTAGAATGTTTTCCCTCTCGTTCTGGATTTTTAAATCTGCCTATACGTGATAGCGTTCTGTAAAGCTTGACTTTCCAGTCCTGTTCTTGGAGTGTGGAAGAGTTTGGGCTCTGCTGTGACTAGCTCTGTGGGATGCTGTGGTTCCCAGTGTGGAGGGCTTTCTATATTCAGCTCCTTCAAACCTGGGATAGTATCGTGGAAGTTGGATGATAGAAAACTTGATTCCCTGGGTTGGAGAGATGCTTCAGAGGTTAAGAACACTGGCTGCTCTTCCAGAGGTCCTGAGTTCAATTCCCAGCAACCACCTGGTGGCTCACAACCATCTGTAATGGGATCTGATGCCCTCTTCTAGTAAGCAGTCAAAACATTCTAACAGTACACTGTATACATAATAAACATTTTAAAAGATTTGATTCCCTCCATTTTGGGATAAACAGATGATGGAGCTGGCTACCAAAAATCATCCCATTCATTGATTCAAACTGAAATTAAGCAAGACACTAAGTATATGTATGGTTCCTGTACTCAGCCCATCTGCCTCTCCACTGGTATTAGAGCATCTAGACAGAGTTATTACTGTTTGGGACAATGTGATTAAATGTGATGAGTGACAGAAAGCTCTCATACTTTTTTTTTTTTTTTTTTTTTTTTTTTGGTTTTACGAGACAGGGTTTCTCTGTATTGTTTTGGAGGCTGTCGGTCCAGCCTGGCCTCGAACTCACAGATCCTCCTGCCTCTGCCTCCCGAGTGCTGGGATTAAAGGCATGCGCCACCACCACCAACCCCCCCCGCCCGAAAGCTCTCATACTTAACTAACCGTGTGTTTAGGATGCTATCATGCACAGTTAAGCTGCCGTCTCTCTCTAAGTGGCCTGCTCAGATGCAGGCATACAGATGGGAGCCCACAGGGTCAAAAATAGCCATTTCTCTATGGTCCAGTAGGCAACGAACACATTTTTAATGATGACCACAGGAAGAAAGGTGGTAGTTTTCCTCTTTTCTTTCTTTTTTTTTTAAGATGCTGTCTCATAATAAACTAGAATGACACCAAGATGGTTCTGTTAGGACGGGCGTCGGGACAGTAGATACCATGCTTGCTATGTGTCAGAGGCTCCAGTAGGATTGCTAGAGATGCCATTGGGGGCCTCTCAGGAGCAGTGGAGTTGGGATTAAACCCTAGCTGTGGCTTGGTGGGCTCCAAAGCCACTTTTATCTTATCTTTGTTTTGCTTTGTTTCTTTTTTGGCTTTCTAGTGACCCAGGTATACACACACACACACACACACACACACACACACACACCCTTGCTACATTCTCATTCAAGAGCAAGTCCTTTCTGAATAATGATGTATTGTCATAATTAAGTCACTCTTCTGACATATTAAAAAAAGGACTTTGGTTTCTACTTAGTCATTTACTTGTTTATGTTTTAGTTCCATTTAAATATAATTCTACATTCAGAAAAAGTTGCAGGCTTCGTCGTTGGGAAATTTTAACGTTACAAGATAATCCCAGGATTGGCTGTTCAATTGGACATTATTTCTTATTGAGCTATAGCTGAAGATATCAATATGCCCAGATTCTAACACCTCATCAGTCCTGAGCAGGGGAGATGGCCCCTTGGATTAAGTGCCAACTGCATGAGATCCGGGTCTAGATCACAGCACCCAAGTAAAAGCGGAACTCAATGGTGCATACCGGAGGGGTAGAGGCGGGTGGATCCTAAGGCCTTGACTCCAGATTCCGTGAGACACCCTGTCTGTCATCAGTAAATGAACAAATAGTGGAGAAGATTGAAGAGAACATGCCAGTGTCATCCTCTGACCGCTGCACATGCATGTGTACACACATGAAAGTGCGCGCGCGGGCACACACACACACACACACAAAACACAATCAGTGCTTTATGTAACCAATAGTGTGTTGGTTCTGCTTTAAGACAAGCTCTCACAGTCATCTTTTGTCTTACCAGAGAGGACAAATACTAATTTAAACGTTCCATTTCTCTCTTTATTTCTTCCATTTCCCGTAGGCTGGGACTCAGATCAGCCTGGCAGATTTACCATTTTCCAATGAGATTTTCATGCTGTGGTATAATTTACTTCCTTCCAAGCAAACGCCTTGCAAAAAGAACGAAGAAGAAAGCAAAGAGCCTGTACTTCAACCCAACGAGCCAGAACTAGGTTCTATAGACTTGGTGAGTCACAACTGGAAAGCAGTGGCTGAGAGACAGTCATGCAATGTGGGTGACAGATCGTGGAAGACAACAGGCCCTGCTGTCACCAGGGGTTTTCCTCCTCCTCCCTCAGGCCCTCTTTGCTCCCAGGATCCCAAGAAAAATCATTTCCAGTTTAGATTCCAGTGGGACTTACAAGGCATCATACCACCGCCCATAAAAATGACTTCCTGTTTGGTTTTTCGAGACAGGGCTTCTCTGTGTAGTTTTGGAGCCTGTCCTGGAACTTGCTCTGTAGACCAGGCTGGCCTCGAACTCACAGAGATCCTCCTGCCTCTGCCTCCCAAGTGCTGGGATTAAAGGTGTGCGCCACCATCATCCCCAGCTACAGGCTTTAGTAGAATAGAGTAGAAGCCCTTGGACCTGTGACCAGTCATTGTCACTCTGTAAGTTTGCTTATTCTGCTTACTATATGCTTTCATACAAAGGAAGGAGCGTGAGGCTTGCTCTCTCTCGACTCATTTCTTTCAAGGTCTGTCTATGGAGCACAGCTGGTGTTTCCTTCCTTCCTTCTTCCAGAAAGTGTTCCAGTGCAGATGTCCCACTGTTGGTTTAACACTTTTCCGCTCATGTGCGTCTCAGTGGTTTCTACAGTTTGTGTGGACATGGGTAGACTGTACTCACTAGGATGCATATTATGCTTAACGTGTTGAAGGATTGCAAACTGTTTCCCTGATACATAGATTAGCTGCCTTTTTACTGTTGACATAAAAAGTGTCGTGGGGGAGGGGGAAGATGAAAGTGTTGGGGTCTCACCATGAAGCCCAGGCTGGCCTACAACATGTTATATAGAACAGGCTAGCCTCTAACTTTGCAATCCTCCTGCCTCAACTCTTCTGGGTGCTGGGATTATAGGTGTGTACCACTATACTCAATTTCCTGTCTTGGTGCTAGTCCCTTTTCAGATAATTTATCTTCAGAGTTGTTTTCCCCCATTTTGCAAGGTGTCTTTTCATTGTCTTGTTAGCGCTACAAGGGTTTTACATGAAAACGCATCTCGGCCCTTCCCATCCTCGTCCTCGCCTCTCCCTTTGTTCGGATGCTGTCATACCTCTAAGGCTAGCATAGTCACGTAAAGATTTCCCCAGTGTCGTCCTTATGAATCTTAGTCTTCTATATGGACAGCTGATCCATTTGGGTGATTTACATGACCTATGGAGGAGGGGTCCAGTTTATTCTTTTGTGTTTGGGTCTATAGCTGTTTTTCCTGGAGCTTCCCACTGCTGGGCTCCTAAGAGAATGCCATGCAAACTCGGATCTTCATGCTCTCAAGACAGCACTTGCCCAATACAGCTGGCTTCCCAGCCCTCTTCCACGCGCGTCAATATTGTGTTACATGTTGTGGCCAAAGCACACAGGCAGTGTGACCAGAGGGAAACAGCAGCCTGTAGTCCCAACAGGCAGAGACAAGCAGATCCCTTGGGCTCCCTGGCCAGCCAGCCTTCCCTACTTGGCGAGCCACAGGCTGGTGAGAGACCTCGTCTCAAAACAGCAAAACCCAGCAAGGCCCCGTAAGGGATGACAGCAGGGCTGTCCTTTAGCTCCATGAATACTTGCACACGTGTGCAAATGCATACGCAAGCACAGTAGAAGCAGACATCTCTTATTCCTGATTTTAAAGGGGGGGTCTGTCTGTCTGTCTGTCTGTTGGTGCCCACATCATGCATGCATGAGTGCATGGCACCCATGGAGGTCCGAAGAGGGCATCCGATCTCCTGGAGTTGTGAACAGCTTGATAATACATACTAGGGATTTCACTCAGGTCCACCCTTCTGGAAGAGCAGCAGGCTTTCTCAGCCACTGAGCATTGCCTCAGCCCCTTGCTGCTAATTTTAGAGGGGACTTTTCACCACGAAATGATGGTTTTCAGAAGTCCCCTTTATCATTGAGGAAGACTGTTTTACCTAGATACCTGAATATTTTTTTTAATCATTAAAGGCTGTTGAATTTGCCAATTTTTTTTATCTACCTAGATTTCCATATAGTTCCCCATCCTTCAATCAGTTGCTCTTGTTTAGTTTTAGGTATTAAATTAATCTTAAGTTCCTGGGGTAAGTCTTACTTGAATAAAAAAATACTCAGTATCTGTGCTTTTTGCTTGTTTGAAATAAGCATGCAAATACTATGCTGAGGTGCTTTCTTGTGTCTATACTCATGGTTTTCCTGTACTGTCTTTGTGTTTCTCTGTCTGTGTGTGTTATCCACTGTGTGTGCATGTGTGAGGCCAGACAACCTTAGGTGGCGGTCATTTCAGGCATGATCCATCTTGGTTTGTTTTTGTTTTAAACAAACCCTATCGCTGGAGCGGGGCTCGCCAGCTTGGCGAGGCTGACTGAGCAGCTGGCTGGGTACTCTGCCTGTCTTGCTTCGCTTCCCCCGGCTGGGGTTACAAATGTGCATCACGGTACTCAGACTTTGAACGGTGTTGGGGGTCAAACAAAGACCCTCATGCTTGTCTGTGAGCCCTTTACCGACTGAGACATCTCTGCCCTCACAGAGGGGGCAGTGAAACAGTCCCTCCTCATCTCCGTTCAGCAGGAATTTCAAAAGAATATCACTACTAATTCTTTAAAAGTCTGGTGGATACAGCAGCCATGTGGGCCTTAGCTGTGGGAAGGCTTTGGTTCAAATTCAATGTCGCATTTGTTCTAACTCCCAGAACGTTGGTCTTGAATTTGCTTTGGTACCTATGTCTTTGTAGAGCACAGATTGGTTTATGTATGACTATTCATGTTTTCTCATGAGTGAGTTCATATCTGAAAGGCTATAGAGAGGTTCAGCCATTAGAAGCTAGGCACATAACCAAAACGCCAAGAACCCCCACCTGTTCATTCGGAAACGCAGTGTTGGAGACCTCTCACTATTTTCTTCATCAGGCCAGCCACAGGTTTGCTAATGGTTTGGGTATTTCTGAAGAGCCCGCTTAGATTTTATTTGCCATGCATTTCCTCCTCGGTTTGCTTTGTCTTCTGCTTGCTCTAGGATTGCGTTGCCCTTTTGCTTGTGTGTTCTTGTATGGAAAGTTAGGCTGGTGGTTGATACCTTCCTCTCCTGAGGTGTCCTGACGGCGCTGCGGGGACAGCATCTCTTCACTCTCTGGTGTTTTCTCAACTGACTTGTGTCTCCTGAAACTTTGCTGGATTAGGAAAGTTAATTTCTGCCTATTTTTAAATTTCTCATATTCCCTTCTGTTGCCGGCATTTAATTCCATCACAGTCTGACCAAAAAGCCGCACTTAGCATGCATGACTGAAGTCCTTTTGAATTTCCTGAATATCCTAAAGAATGTCTTGTGTTCGCTTCAGAAAAATACTTGTTCAGGGTATTCCACAGATGTTTGTCAGTTCCGTCTGGTTTATAGCTCTGTTACACGAATTTTATTTCACTTTTTTCCTCTTCTAATCTCTCTCTCTGGCTTATTTTGTGGGAAAGGGAAATGGAGAGATTTATACCAAAGTGCACAAATCTCACCCAAGCAGTCTGAGTTTATTGGTGTAACTGTGACCCCCATCAAATCACAGTGCCACAGTGCGTTGCCCTCGCCTCAGAATCTCTCCTCGTGCCCCTCCCTGCTGTTCCCCCAGTCTCCTAAAGGTGACTCCCCCACATGGTGTCTGTCTCACATGACTTTGAATTTGATGTATTTGACGTCTGCTCCTTGTGTCTGGCATCTTGTGAAATGCGCTTGTTACTCCGTGTAATTATAGCTCATTCACTCTCATTGTTAGGCAATATTTTATTGTATAATTGTATCTCAATTTATCTGTTCTATTGCTGCTGAACATCTGAGTTGTTACTAATTTGGGGCCTATTATAGTGCTGCTATTAATCTGTATACTTAGAGTTGATAAAACTATGCTGTCTTCTAACTGTCACTGTTGTGGTATGTGCTTAGATTTTTTAATTTTCGCTTCCTTGATTATAGCATGCATGCCATCAAATGGATGCTATCTTTTGTAAAGTGTTTATTCTAGTTTTTAATTCATTTTCTTTTGTATTTTGTTGTAGCTTGATTGGAATCTGTGCATTTGGAAATGAGTATTTTAAAATAATTGTATCACAAGTATCTGTTACTTTCTGTGACTTACCTTATCCATTTCCTTTTCATAATGTCTTCTTTGGGTGAGGGAAAACAGTTTTAATGAGACTTTGATTTCACTTTTTCCCTTTATGCTCCGTCCGTACTTTCCTTATAAGGATCATTTGCCTCCGGGTGTGAGGATTTTTGTTTGTTCTAGATTTTTGTTTTGTTTTTTTCTTTTTGTTTTTTGTTTGTTTGTTTGTTTGTTTGTTTGAGGCAGGGTTTCTCTGTGGCATTGGAGGCTGTCCTGGAACACACTCTGTAGGACAGGTTGGCCTTGAACTCACAGAGAACCGCCTGCCTCTGCCTCCTGAGTGCTGGGATTAAAGACGTGTGCCGCCACTGCCCGGATGAGATTCGTGTTTTCCTTGTGATGTCATTATCACTTTGCATTTAGGTTTTGCAGGCTTCATTGTGTGTTGGGAAATATTTGTTTTCTGTTGACTGCAGAAACTGTCGGTAATCAGTTGTTCCAATAAAATTTTCAAATTTGACAAATACCTGGTAAGATTGCATAAAAGGCACAAATTATTGATACCAAGAATAAGGAAGAATGATGAAGCCCTTGTGATGTGAAACGATAACGAAGTACATCGTGCCAATTAAAACCTCTCTTCCTCGGTTATTTGGAGGGCATCCTTTTAAAAACATCAGTCAAGTAGCTAGGGCTCTTCGAGAGAAGTAACCCTTCATAAAAGTCGGTGCCAGCACCTCCCATCCAAGATGTCCTGTTTTGAGTTAATGTGAAGGACACTGAGGCTTTGGGCTTGGAACCCAGTTGCAAAGGCTATTTGTAAATTACAGAGTCAGTTTCTTTCTAGTGCAGGGCTGGGCTGGTTTTCTCTACTTGCTTTTCACAGAGTTTGTCTATTTAATCTATTTTTATCATCATTATTGTGGCAGCGCTGGTGACAAACCCAGGACCACATGCATGCTTGCCGAGTCCCATGCTGCCCAGGGGACTAACAGACCCGCCCAGCATCAGTCAGTCATAGGACCTGATTGTCCTTCCATACCCGCAAGGACTTTTTTATTCCTGTGTTGGCCCTTTTTATGCAGTCTTACCAGGGACTTGTCAATTTGTAGACTTTATTTCCATAGCTGATTTGGGTCTGGCTGGTTCTCACTATTATGTGTGTGTTTACTCTTCTCATCTCTACTGTCACATTATTATTTCTTCAAATCCACCACTTGGGGTTTAATTTGGGTCTCATTGTCTTCTTAAGATGGATGCTTAGATAGCTGTCTTATTGTCATTGCATTTGGGGCTGAAAAATGTTTTTTACAAGTGTGGTGTTACAGAATTGAATTAAAAATGCTTTACAGTCTCCATTGTGACTTCCTTATTCACTGTAAATTTTAAAGGATATTTACTAATTACTAGGTGGCTGGAGGGTTTTACTCTGTTGCTGGTTTCTAGTTTTATTTTACTGTCTTCAGAGAATCGAACAAGTACCATTCAGCCATGCTTGCTTTTGGGTGTAGTGTGTGGTATGTTTGGGATAAACATTCCATTTCTCTTCGAAGAATGTGTCTTTTGCTCTCAAGTTGCTAATTTTGTTTTTAGGGTTTCTTACCTATAGTGGTTTATTGATTTGCTTCTTCATTGTTTGCTGGCAGGGATATTACATGTCATTGACCCTTGACAGCACTAATTATATTTTGCCTTTTTAGTTCCAATTTTTTTCTTATCTGTGTTAATAGGTGAATATCTTTGTGTGCCCATCTGACCTTTTGTTGTTATGAACTATCTCTACCTAGAATAACACCTTGTGTTTTAAAGTCTACCTTGTCTGCTAGTGACAAAGCTGTCTTAAGTCTTTTTTAATGCACTGTCTGCATGATTTGTCCCGTCCATCAGGGTGCTGCATCAACTTCTGCCACCAACTTCTGGTGACCCTGAGCTGAGGGTCCCCATAAGCTTGTCCTGGCGGTAGCCATGGTATCAGAGGGTGGAGGCTGTCAAGACTCCTTTACCAAAATGGGTCTCCACAGCCTGTGCTGGTCCTCGTGGTCCTGGTCTTCTGTGGTGCAAATCATTGATCCTCCCAGCCTCTTGAGAGATGGTGAGCCTCGCTCATCTCCCCACCTCAGGCTCCCCACCTCAGGCTCCCCACCTCAGACTCCCCACCTCAGACTCCTCACCTCAGACTCCCCACCTCAGACTCCCCACCTCAGACTCCCCACCTCAGACTCCCCACCTCAGACTCCCCACCTCAGACTCCTCACCTCAGACTCCCCACCTCAGACTCCTCACCTCAGACTCCCCACCTCAGACTCCTCACCTCAGACTCCTCACCTCAGACTCCCCACCTCAGACTCCTCACCTCAGACTCTTCACCTCAGACTCCTCACCTCAGACTCCCCACCTCAGACTCCCCACCTCAGACTTCCTCACGGCAGGCTCACTCAGCTCAGCTCGGCCTCTGGCTTCTGTTTCCAGTGGTGTAGACTGTCCCCCCAGCTTTCTGTCTGCCCCAGTTCTCAGGGTGATCGGTGCCCAGAGTCCTCGAACACTCCCCTTGGTGGGACTGAATGCATACAAGCACCTTGGTGTGACTGGGTCATCAGCTAACCTCTCCGTGGCTCGTTGGTGGCTGTTTATCATGACTTCTCTCCCATCCATGCTCATGATCTCATAGACGTGGCCTTATAATCTGTCATCTTGCCACTGACCCAGGTTGCAATGCCAGGATTCCAGCAAAGTCACGCACACTTGCTCCTTCCGCTGCTGGCAAGGGTCTCTTTTCCGTAACTTGCGGCAGCGTTGTTGCAATACACGGATGCACTTCTCTTTGTGCTCATGCTAGCATAATCTGCGATTTCACCAGTTTTTCTTTATTCGAGTGGTAAAAGCTTGATTGCTGTCTCTGAAAAACTGTGGTGTTTGAATCACTTGTGGGTCTGCCTGTGCTGTCTGTTGTTTCCTTTGGCTTCTTGCCATTAGCCGTTAGTGGAATGCTGGCTGTATTGAAGGAGGGATTGTAAAGGCTCCAGCTGAAGTCTTCTTCTAGAGGTGAGGTGATGCTCTTCTGAAGGCAGATGACAACATGGGAAAGTTGCCTGCGTCACCTGGGGCTTTTGAACTCCAAGTTTTCTCTCTCCAGAGCCCTGTGAGGCATGAAATATCTGCTTACTGTTGAGGCTGCGAGCAGCTGGGTTTGGCTTTATTTCTGTCTTGCTCTGTACAGAGGCCACCTAGGAAAGGCAGAAGCCTGACTAGGAACGTCCTGGGTGACGCAGGGCCGGTTCACCATTTCCTCCAGCCCCTTTTGTGTGGACCGCCTTGGTAGCTCTGCACGCCATGCAGTGGACTGCGGGGCTGAGATTACAGGCAGCCCATCTGTTCAGCCTGCGGGCCTCATGCCTAGGCTGGCCAACGCCTTTAGAGGAAGCACAGGCTGTGATGGTCACCTGTTGAATCCTTGCTTTCCCTGGGACTTCAGCCCTCCAGCCCCAACAGCCCCTGCCAGTCTCCCTGCTTTAGAACATCCGGGAGTTTGTATTTGTTTTGGGTTTAATTTTGTTCGACTTTCATATTTGTTCTCAGCAGGAGAACTGGGTCTGGTACAGGCTTCACAGCTGGAAGTGTAAGTCTGCATCCACGGAGTTTCTGAATCATCTTTGGAGCGTCTGGTGTTAACTGCCGTATGGTTTCTGTCCTGCAGGATGCCGTGTCAGCCTTACTTGCAAGAACTTCAGCTGAGCTGTTGGCTGTGGAACAAGAACTGGCCCAGGAGGAGGGGGAGCTGAGGCCGGAAGAACAGCGGGGTCCGCGGGGAGATTGGTAAGCAGCCTCTGCCTTTCCCAGGGGGGCTCGGCACGCTTGGTTTCTCCAAAGACGCTTCCGGGCCTTTATAGGCTCCTCTTAGTTTGGACTACGGCAAACAGTGTGACATCAGGGAGTGCTGGCTGCAGTCTCTCTGGTCATTAGAGTGCTACAGGAAGAAATGGCAAGCTTGTGGCAAAGTCACCACAGTGCTTTTATTCTTGCTTCCAGTAATGATGTTCCTAATTTTCTAGGCTTTGCTTTTTGTCTAAGCTGTCCATTTAGAAAGCTATGATACCTTATTATAGATCAGTGGTTCTCAATCTGTGGATCGGGATCCCTTTGGGGGCTGAAAAACCCGCCCACAGGGGTCACGTATCAAATATGCTGCATATCAGACATTTGCATTATGATTCATAATAGTAGCACAATTACAATTATGAAGTATCAATGAGATAACTTTATGGTTGGGGTCACCACAGCATGAGGAACTCTATTAAAGGGTCACAGCATTAGGAGGGTTGAGAGTCATAGATAAAGTATAAATGGCTGTCTCTTTTCTTGACTAGGAGTGTCATTTAGCATCCTTAGAAAAGAGCATCCAAGTGGCCATTGCAGTATTGGCCCCTCCCCATTCCTTTTATCTCCTCCTGTGTCGGTAACCCAACCCTTAAGGATGCCCGCGCCGTGTATGTCTGCACGTAAAGGCTGTCTTCCCAGGTTTCACTGTAGTCTCTAAAAACACGTGTTAGTGGATGCTTCCATATATAAACAACTTGGGTCAATTTTTATTTACCTTTGTACTGTTGTATGTGATTGGACGTCCGTTAGCATGAATAGTCTGCACTTGTGTGTATGCATGCATGCAAAGATGAAACGTGTTAGAAACTCTGAGTGACGGACGTCCCAGATGCTGCTGTCAAGGACATTAGAAGGTGGGGCTCCAGTGGTGATGTAAAAAGCACAGCGACACTTAGTGGATAACGTCGGCACCCGGGAGCGATGGACAGACTGAACATGGTATCTTAGCACCAGGCTTTTCTCGTGCTTGAAAAACACAATTTATCTCACATTTCAAGGAATATGCTTAGTGGGTTTCAGTTCACCGTAGTCATCGCTAGTTCTCCCTCGTGTTCATTTCATGGCTAGACATTTAATAACTAGTCTGTGTCAATCTGCCAATATGTCACCAATTGCAATGAAGACTTGACATTTAGAAGTCAGTGAAAAGGCTTCTTTCTATTCTTAGGACATGAAATTCAGCAAAGCCTGCCATGTTGCAAGCCTTCACAATACTCCTACTGTGTATACTCTATATAAACTGTGGTCACATTCTTTTTAAATATTTTCCAAATTTTTTATTTATTTTTATTTTATGCGTGTGGCGGTTTTGTTTGCGTATAAATGTATACCACGTGCATGCAGTGCCCTCAATGGCCAGAAGAGGGCATCTGCCCCTCTGGATCTGGAGTTACAGAGGGTTGTGCGTCAATACCCAGGTGCTGGGAACCAAACCTCCCGAGTCCTCTGGAAGAGCAGCTAATGCTTTTAACTGCTGAGCCATCTCTCCAGCCATGTGGTCATATTCTTGTCACCACCTAAACCCCTGCCACAGCTTTTAGTAATGAGCATGTCAGGCAGAGAGTCACCTAATAGCACAGTAACAAACCCTTTACACGTGTCTCTGCCTGCCTGATAATAAGCATTAATAATGGGTAATCCTCAGGCCTTAGCTAATGAGAGCCAACTATTATATGACTAATTCTATAGTCAACTGAATAATTCCAGGTTAGTGAATGTCATGTTTCTACATGTTGAAATTAAAGTTTGTATGTGGTCCTTGAATATTTCTTTTGAAAATCTGGAGATTTGGTCAAATCTCATAACTTTTAACTTAACATTAAAATTAGCTTTTTTGTTTTGTTTTGGTTTTGTTTTGTTTTTTTCAAGACAGGGTTTCTCTGTGACTTTGGAGCCTCTTCTGGAACTCACCCTATAGACCAGGCTGGCCTCAAACTCACAGAGATCCGCCTGCCTCTGCCTCCCCAGTGCTGGGATTAAAGGCTGCCAGGCTAAAATTAGCATTTTTGTTCCATACTGTGAACATACAATGGGAATTTATTTTTCTTGATCTGCTTAGCTAAGAACTCCCAGCTGTCACGTATGTCTTGAATCACATGCATGAATCTGTTACTTCTCGGGTAATGGATTGACAAGCCCAGTCACAGGGCAAGGAGTATGCCTGCCAGGCTGAACATGGCTTTTGATTTTTGTTTTACTCTGTCTCACCACAGCTTAACGATGCTAAGAGAGGCCTCCGATGAAGCCGTGGGCACAAAAGAAGCTCAAGTTCACTTGGCTGGGGGCAGCCGCTGCCCTGGAGACCCGAGTTCATGCGCTAGCGGGCCCGCGACGAGGGAGGACCAGCATAGGAAAGAAAGCCAGCATGCCGAAGACCCTAGTCAGTCACCGCCCGGCATTCCCACACTGGTAATGCTCTGCCACACTCTCCTCAGACAAAACCCTGTGGACACCACATACTCAAGCGGCCCCAAAGCTCACTGGGGAAGGCTTTTATGGGAATATCACCAAGAGCATGGAAAACACTTACAGTTTTCACATGGCTCAGAATATTAATGTTTCCTTTATATTTGGCAGAGACAATGCTCACTACTTTATATCTCTGTAAATGTTTCGCCAGTGCTTGCTGAAAGTATTGTCTGGGGCTGGCGATGGAGCTCCATGGTTCCAATGCTCACAGCCCTGGAGTCAGTCAGTCCCCAGCCCTGGAGTCAGTCCCCAGCCCAGCTGTACACCTGGTACTCAGGACGAGTAATCAGAGTCATCAGCTGTACAGTGGGCTCAGGTCCAGCCTCAGATAGACAAGGCTCTGTGTCAAAACAAACAACGACAAAAACCAAAAGCAACAGCACAAAAACAAGTGTTTTCTGACCCTGGTGTGGTGATCCCTGTAATCCCAGCCCTCAGAGTCTGATGCCGGAGGAGGGTCAGCCTGGGCTCCACAGCAAAACTGTCTCAAGGAAGTATTTTTCTATTTTAGAGAGATCAGGGGGCGGGGGCTATTTAATGTATTAAGTTTGAAAATCTATTTTAGTGTTAAACATGAAATAAGAATTTGAAATTCATCTTGGCTGCTGGAGTTCAGTTCTAGCTGAAACCTGCTCTGAAAGATGTTGTGCACTTGGTTAGGCACAGGTGTAACAAGTAGATGACTAACTACTACCTTACATTTCCCCATTATCCTAAATGGTTTGTAATAATAGCTTTTAAAGAGAAGAACTTTGTGTTGCATTTTAAATGAGCTGCACAGGTACAATACTTTAAACTAAAGAGTGGAACCATACATACAAAATGTATGTGTGTACGGTAGAAGGATCAGCATATACACCACCTGCCCTGTAGTCTTTCTTGAGTTCTTTCTTCACATCTGTAGCCAGGATTTTCAGGCGGTCTCCCCCAATCAAATCTGATCTTCATTAATTTTGAAGAGAACTATAATATTTTGTTTCCCCCAACACATTTCCCAACTTCCATTTTTTATACCAAATTTTTGACATTTCTAAAGTATACAGGCTGGTTTAATTCAGCATTCCCTTCTATAAGCCAATGTTTCTCAGGAGCTGCCATTTACCCATCAGCATTCAAAAAAATTCAAAGTCAGCAAAGTACCGTACAGGATCCTGATGCCCATTTTCTTTCCGCTTGTCTACGATTGTATGTTATCGTTTTGTTCTCATCTAAGTTTTATTTATTATTTTACATCTATGGGTGGGTGTATTGCCTGCATCTGTCTGCGCCATATGCATGCAAGGCCAGAAGAGGGCGTCAGATCCCCTGGAACTAGAGTTGCAGACAGTTATGAGCTGCCAAGTGGGTGCTGGAAATTGAACCTGGGACCCTGGGACTCTGTAAGAGCAGCCAATGCTCTTAACTGCAGAGTCATCTCTCCAGTTGTTATATTGAATCTTTAATCATTTTTTTCATTATACTTTGTTCTGACAGAGAATACTATGGTTAGAGATGATACATCTCTAAGTAGAAAGCATCCTTCCCCTGTCTCCTTCCCGAAACATGGAGCAAGGGCAAGCCTTGCTCACAGTGCTAGAGGAGTCTCTGCTTAACTTGAGCTATTTGCTCATCCCTAGAACAAGTTCTCAACATAGGGATCATGACCCTCACCAGGGCTGCTTATCAGATAGCCTGCACATATCATACTATGATTCCTAACAGTAGAAAATTCTAGTTAGGAAGTAACAATGAAATAATTTTGTGGTTGGGGGTCACCGCAACCTGAGGAACTGTTTTGAAGGGTGGCAGCATTAGGAAGGTGGAGAATCACTGCCCTAGAAAAACGGCACGCATAGGAACATGCACCTGCCAGCCCCTGATGGCTCCCCGACTTTCATTGTAGGTTGATAAGGAGACGAATACTGATGGAGCCATTGATGTCAACATGTCAGTTCGCCCCAAAGACCGCAGCAGCCTGAGCTCCCGACAGCATCCCTTTGTGAGGAACAGCGTGATAGTGCGCTCCCAAACCTTCTCCCCAGGCGAGCGGAGCCAGTACATCTGCAGGGTAAGGGACAGACAGCGCTGTGCTGAAACACCATGGTGGTGGGCGCTTCCCCTTCTGCCCACTGGAAGCCAGAGACCATGCCCAGGAACTACAGATCCGTCTGCAGACACTGATGGTTACAGCCACTATAGAGCAGGTGTAGACTACCACACCCCAGGGCTTCTGTTTACTGGGTGTGTTTTCCCACACACTCAATGTCTTGCTGGCTCTAATGTGATTTACTTGGCAAAAGAATAAAGTTTAAGGATTTAGGTGCTAAGAATTGTTGGACTTCTATGTTTAGAAACACAAAATGACTTAAGAAATGCATTTTGTATATTTCATATTTATTTCTAACCATGTTAATCTTGCCGATGAGAAAATGTGAATTGAATTTTACACAAAAATTCTGTTTTAAGACCTTGCGTCCCTGAATCAGACTCAGTCCCAGGAAGAAAATTGTGAGATTTATATCAGTTTCCTGAAGTCTACTTCATGAATTACTTATGAACTATAATAAATGGATTTAATATTACATAGATACTTTTTAAAGTTCTGAACTTATCCAGGTAATAAAATCCTTATTGAGCACTTTCCTACAAACAAAGACTCCGCCCCTTCTCTTTTGCACAACTTTTGTTCTTGTCAATGAGCCAGGCCAATACGCACACTGAAGAAGCTGTGAGTTGCTATTGGTGGAATCAATACCATGGGAAACAGAAGAGCAGTAGACAGGAGGATTCTGGGTAGCCTCTCTTGATGAGGTGACCTTCAGCAGAGCCGGAGCCAGGGGAGGACTGAGCATGCCCGTCCACACAGCACAGGCTCTCAGCGCTGTCCCTTACAGACTCAGACCACTGTTAGCTACAAATACAGAGCACATGACCTCGTAAGACAGTTGGCTTTGCATGCAGACTGTGACAACTACCAAAAGGCAGCCGTGGAAGTTATCTAAGAAAACTAAGTACAGAAAACCAAAGACTAGGGGAAAAATTATGTACGAAAGACTTTCTGAAAAATATAGTTCACCGGCTGCGGATATAGCTCTGTGGTTGATCAGCTCCCTAGCATGTGTGAGGGCCTGGATTTGATCCCCAGAGCAGAAGAGGTGGAGCAAGAAGAGGGCGGGTCACATCGCCTCTCACAACCTGCTTTGTTCCATAAACGCCTCCATCCTGACTGCCACTAGCTGTGTTGGTTTCTTTGTAATTATTTTCCTTCCTTTTTATCTTTGGTTACCAGTTAAATCGGAGTGACAGTGACAGTTCAACCTTGGCCAAAAAGTCATTGTTTGTGAGAAACTCCACCGAACGACGCAGTTTGCGGGTTAAAAGGGTACGTATTCCCTGAACCAGACTTGAAGAACATAAATCCAGAAGGGTTGAGTGTCAGCATGACTGGTGAGGGAAGCCCCTGGGTCTTGCATGGAGCTGCAGCTGGGAGTCACTTACTGAACCAAGGAGGATGTGTTTGGCCCTGGTTCAGAACCTGTGCTGCTTAAGGCTGGAAACCGGTTTACAATGTCTTTGGACAAGGTGGCTGCTAAGCCCCAGTGTCAGGAGTTGAACCACCGTTTCTAATGGGGGCTTCAGCATGTCCAGCCCTTGAGTGACTGTGGGAGAATTTAAAGCCTAGTCCCTTCCCTGAGGGAACTCTTCTCTCCGCCCACACGTGGCTCCTGGGGATAGAACCCAAGCCATCAGGCTGGGCCCTCTCACGGCCTACTGCCCACTTTCAGATCTCTGTAGTTTAAATGATCAGCTCTATTTCATGCTCAGCCACTGAGTGGCAGGCTTGTCTGGTACCAGGTCCTGCTGTTTACACTGGGATCGGGCTGATCTGCCTTTCTGCTGTGTCCCCAGCAGGAGGCAGAAGTGTACAGGTCTCACAGCGCCTTTGACAAGCGTCTGCCACCATCCTGTCGTGTGAGGAAGGGCAGAGACAGTAATGGGGATCTGTTGTGTCTCCCTCCGCAGGCAGTCTGCCAACCCACCCTCAGGAGGACGGCTCAGGAATGCCCTGTCCGCACATCTCTAGACCTGGAGCTGGACCTGCAGGCCTCGCTGACCCGTCAGAGTCGCCTCAACGATGAGCTGCAGGCCCTGAGGGACTTACGGCAGAAGCTGGAGGAGCTGAAAGCTCAGGGAGAGACTGACCTTCCCCCGGGCGTGCTGGAGGATGAGAGATTCCAGAAGCTTCTGAAGCAAGCAGAGAAGCAGGTACGGAGCTCTGGGTCATATCAGGAGGGTAACGGGCAACAGGTAACGGGCACCTTGGTGGAGGGTCCCAGCATAGGCTCTTCCCATCCTTTTCCTAGGACTGGGGTGCGGCCACCCCGCCATTATGGTGTCCTTCCTACCCAAATAATTGCTGCTGTAGTGCTGTGCGCCCAACCCCAGGCAGCTCTGTAGTCTCCTGACAGAAAGGGAACATGGCGGCATTCCAGTGTTTCAGCAAATGGTACATACTGTTTACAGTTAGCCACGGTAGCTATAAATACATCGCTAATTTTAATGTTCCTAAATTTTCGCTTTCCTTCCTTGAAAAAAGATCACATTGCACTTTAATAGCATGCGCTTGCCTCTCACTCTAAAAACATGTATAGAAAAGAAGATGACTGCGTAAACAAATACTGTTTTGTTTTGGGGGCATCTCGGTATGTAGCCCTGGCTAGCCTGGAACCCGCTATGTAGACCAGGCTGGTCTCAAAGAGATTCACCTGTCTCTGTCTCCAAGTGCTGAGATTAAAGGCGTGCGCCACCACAGACAGCTTGTACTGTTGTTACTGCATGGTTGTTTTTGTTTTTTGAGTCTGGTTTGTGAATTTGTTTTTTTGAGACAGCATCTCCCTGAATAGTTCAAGTTAATTTTTAAGAACAGCTTTAGTCCCAGCACTCTAAAAGCAGAGGCAGGCAGATCTCTGTGAATCTGAGACCAGCCTGGTCTGCGTAGTGAGTTCTAGGACAGCCAGAGCCACATACTGAGCCACTGTCTCAAAAATACAAGCAAACAAAGCAAAAAGGACTTGTAATGCCCCTGCCTCAGCCTCCCAGTGCTGGCTAGCATTGCAGACATGCACCATCCTTCCTAGCAAAAGCCAAGTGTTTTAAAGGATGATTTTTTTTTCCAATGTGCCAACTAAATATTACTGAATCTGCATGAGTATAATCCTGATTTATTCTCAGGGTTGGGATTTATATTTTGGCTTAGCAATCTGTATTCGTTTCTACAGATAATCTTTAACTAGAGCTTTTCATACAACTGAAATATTACAAGTGTCTAAACATTACTCTTTTGATGTGGCCCTTTGGGTGGAAATCCGAGGTTCAGTAGATAATTCCTTGAAGTATCTAATGGAAAAGAATCCGCCCTAACAAGTTTGTGTTTGAACGGAAATGCCTGGTCCCACCTGGGGGCAGTGTTGAGAAGCAACTGGGCCACAAGGACACTAAGTTCCTCAGCAGAAGACTTCAAAGCTGAAGGGGCTGTTGGGAGGTGGGGGTCCAGCTGGTAGAGGGGAGTCACCGGGGTGCCTTTGAAAGGCCTGCCTTCCAGATAAGCCTAGGCTCCACCACACATTCCCCAGAGACATTCCCTGCCTCCCTGCTTGGGTTCAGATGCAACAGCGCTGTAACTGGATCTGACCCCTGAGCCAGAGGGAACCTTTCTTTCCTTTAAGGTGCACTCTCGAGAGTTTTGCCACAGCAACAAAAAGTGGCTAAGAAGTTGATGAGGAAGGAACAGTCCAGACAAATGTGAGATTTAAAAGATTCTTTGAATGCGTTAAACATTCTGTGTCCACGATTTAGACAAATGTTTAGGAAAATACAAGAACTAATTAAGAAAGGAGGTTGAAAACTCTTCTGTCTGCTAAAGAAATGGTAGCAGAAATGTAAAGTCTACCCTTAAAAAAAATATATAAGTTCCACCAAACTTTTAAAAAAACAAATTGTCTCAATTGCCACCATGTGGGAAAACATGCCACACTTAAATCTGTGTGGGTAAATCCCGGATTTTAAAGGAGAAGACACTGTGGAAAAGGAGAGTGATGGGCTGATTGCACTATGACTGCAAAGGCAGAAGTCCTCACTAAAACACCAAATGAACAGAATCCAGTGATATGTGTTTAAAACACTTCTCTTTTACAATATGAAACTGGAGTAACTGCATCGTGAGTGACCTTGGCAGAGTCATCTGATGTAACAATAATATGATCTAGGAGGTAATTCCACTTTTATCTCCTAATCTTTGGCACATTTTATTGTCTGTCTCACAAGGCACTCGCCTGACATATGAGAGGCCGTGGGCTCCATACCGTACTGCAGGGTTAGAAAGTCAAAGGGTAATGGCCAAGACCTCCTTCACGGAGCCAAGCTTGCCATTCCAGCTTTGGAAACTTGTCTTAAAGACTGACACTTAGAATTCTCGTTAGTTAATGATGTTTTACCTCATCATTAGTCTGTGGTTGTTTCTTATTAAACGATGCTAGCATGTGTCTAGCCCTGTAGTCTGATGGTGGCTGTAGTCGTTGTCATGTAGAGGACATGCCATCATCTTAACAGAATTCCAAGCTGTACTTTCTGGTGGACTTGGATTTCACCATCTTTTTGTCACCGCGATAATGAGGGAAGGAGGGGTGGCTCTGGTGGTTGTGTGGAGCACAGGAGAGAGACGTTCTCACTGATGGCAGTGGAAACAGATGCCAAGGCTCTAAGACTGCACGCCCCCACTTGGGCAGGGCCTGTGCTCTGAGACTCCTCAAGGCACCACCTTTAGTGTTGCTACGGGGGGAAGCAGTTAAATCGCGCCCTGAGTCGGAGGCCAGAGCTCCCCTCACAGCCAGTGTCAGCCCTGTGTGCACTCTGTCACTGCTCCCTCCGTCTCGAGACAGCTTTACAGCAAGCAGCGGCGCAGGACTCTCAAAACAAGGCACACTTATACTGCTTTAAAAACGACTTGAGTCCCTGAGCACAGAGAGCTTTTTATTTTTACCAACTCTGTGGGTAGATAAACTATGTGTATCACGTACTTTTTTTCTCTGCAACTGGAATTTGTAATAAACAACCTGGAAAATCCACACTGTTCAGCTGTGGGCCTTTCGTTATGGCTGCAGAAGCGGGCAGTCACCTGTGGTAGTCTCCTGCTGCTTCTCCTTTTTCTTCACACCCACTGGGCAGTGTGCACACGGACACAGCAGTCTGTACACACACACACACACACACACACACACACACAAAGTACCTAACGATGACCCTGCCGATTGCCTCGTAGAGAAACATTGACTCAAACCAGCAGCAGACCTGGGTCTGCCTCCCGCATAGGCCCTGAGGTCGTCCTCTGTAAGCCTCCGTGTTGGCAGCCGAAAGCCTCTTTTATAGCTCACAATAAAAACCAAATGCCCGTGCCCTCAGATTGTACTTCCCCGTTAGGAAGCAGAGGGAGAAGCTGAGGACTGTAAATTTAGACTGCCGTGTTCCTTGTTCCATCAGGGTTAACATGGCTGTAAGTGAGTCACTGGACCTTTCTGCAGGGCAGGCTTCCATCATGTAAACCATCATTCCCTTCTGGAGTCCAAAGCTTAGGAAGTGGCCAGTTCTCGTGAGCCAGGGGAGGAGCAGAGGGCGTGGAGGGAGGACTCTGTTCTTCAAAGAAGCCATTTCTTTCCTTCCTCAGATTATTTCCCTGTCAGCAAGCCAACACGCCAGGGTGCTAGAGAATTTTGCTGTTTGTTTTTGCATTTTTTTCTTTCAAGTGATACATGTGCTAACACTTTTGAAAGTTAGTCTACACTGAAAAAAAATTGCCGAAGATATTAATATTCTATCTTGAGTCCTGGGTACTCGCATTGTGTGGGGACAGCAGAGAGCTGTGAGTCCTATAAAGACTGTTGAGGAAGGACAAGGCCAGACAAGGCCTAGAGGAGACTCCGTGAGGAGGGGGAGGGCAGGGTGCCTGGTACTCCAGAAATGGACCCTAAGAAGCCGACTGAGCCATCCTGCTGCAGCGTGCACAGCCCTGGCCGCTCCCCCAGGAGCTGCTCGGCCAGCTCCACCTCCCCAGGCCCTGGGGAGACTGGGAAGGAAATTTCCCTGGAAGGACACCAACATTCGCCATGAAATTCCTCCTCTTAAAACAGCTTTTAAAAGAACAAACAAATCCAACCCACATTCCATAGTCTCCCTTATCCCCAGTCATATACATGGTCTCACTTATCCTTAGTAAACTAGAGATGTCAAATAGAAAACTCCAGAGATGTGGGACTGGTGCCTGTCGTAATGGCTGTTCTGCTGTCACTGCCCATCCCCCACTGCACAAATTCATCCGGTTACTGCTCATCCCTCACTGTGAAAGTTCATCCAGTTACTGCTCATCCCTCACTGTGAAAGTTCATCCAGTTACTGTCCAGCTTTCACTGCACCAAACTCATCTGGTTACTGCCCATCCCCCACTGCACAAACTCATCTGGTTACTGCCCATCCCCCACTGCACAAACTCATCCGGTTACTGCCCATCCCCCACTGCACAAACTCATCCGGTTACTGCCCATCCCCCACTGCACAAACTCATCTGGTTACTGCCCATCCCCCACTGCACAAACTCATCTGGTTACTGCCCATCCCCCACTGCACAAACTCATCTGGTTACTGCCCATCCCTCGCTGTGCCAAAGTTATAACTCCAGCTCTACACTCAACTGTATTTGGTCAAAAGCAATACATGCAGACTCACAGTTAAAAGGGAAAGTGAGAGTCGAGGTGGTGGCCCGGTGGGTATAACGCTTGCCAGTCAAATGTGGCCACCTGACTCTAGGTCCCCAGCACTCTTGCTAAAAGCCAGCAGTAGAGGCCTGTGTGGGATTGGCCCTGCCGGGGTAGAGCATTATGGGGACACCTGCTCGGTTTTGTTACCAACTAAAAGCACCCTGGTTTATTTCTTTCTTTCTGTTTTCCCCCCTTGTTTGTCTTTTTACTGGTGTTGGGGGTTGTTGCTGATTGTTTTATTTGGTTTTACTGGTGGAGTTGGGGGAGTGTGAGCTTAGTGTATATCTCAGGCCATAAATTGATGGCAATTCTCTGGCTTCAACCTTCAGGGTGCTTGAATTAATAGGCATGAGCTACCCAATCTGGCTTCTCAATTTTTTTTTTTTTTTTTACTTATTCACTAATTCATTCATTGGTTTGTTTTTGAGATGCAGTCTCTCTATGTAGCTCAGGCTGTCCCAAATTTATAATCTTCCTACATCAGCCTTCCAAGCTACTGTGCATAATTATTACACTCTACTCTTTTATATTATTTTTCTCATTCATGAAACTTTATCTGTTTTGTTTACAACTCTCCCCTACCTCCTGGTAGAATACAATGGGAATGACTAAACACTGAGGCTTAATGCTGTGTTGAGTCTGACTCTGAGTGACTCATGTGTTTTAGCTCATTTAAAACCCAAACTCCTTTGAAGTACTTACTCCCAAAGAAACTACGGCCCAAGGACTAGCCAGACCCCTTACTCAGACTCATAGCTAGGAAGTGCTCAAAAGGGAATCTGAATCAGTCAACCCCAGGATCTGCTGTGTTCACCAAATTAGAATATCCCTACTGACGGTGATCCACACATATTTACTGATTAGGTGACCAAACGGGTGAAATGTGGAAGCAGCCGTGGTGAGCAATATTATTGGTCCATTTGTATTATATATATATAATACAAAATATCTAAGTGTCATTATCGGCAACACAAAATGAATTTTGGTAAACCCTAATCGGCAGTGAGAACGTGGTGCCAGAATGGGACCAGGGGATAGCACTGAGGTGTCCCCTCTGTCCCTTCACCTGCAGCGGGTTACTTGTGTGTCGCTGTGAGCGTCTTGGAGCTCCGTACTTGCATGAGCCGTTGCTGAGTAGGTCGAATGCACTTTGGGAAGCTCTTTAACTGGCTGACGCAGGTTAAGGGCTAAGAGCAGGGAAGTGTCTGCAAGGGCATTGGCCAAAATGTTACCGGTTCCATTTCCTGGAGAGGCAAGTTTTCAGTTTGTGTTTTTGTTGTTACGGTTTTGTTTTGCTTTTGTTTCTGAGGGTCCCAGGCTGCCCTGATGTGAGAAGTTTTAGCATGATTAGTTTCACTCACCTCTGGACGAGGCAGCGCCTCCTCCCCGTGGCATGAACCGAGCATGTGGGTGTTGTCCGCTGCTGCCCCCCCAGAGACGCCCTTGACTGCGCCTGCTTGGCTTCCCTTTGGGTTTCTAACCAAGAGTCTCCTCTGTTGCCGGTTTTCATTCCTATGCCAGGCTGAGCAGACCAAGGAAGAGCAGAAGCAAGACCTGAATGCGGAGAAGTTGATGAGGCAGGTCTCCAAGGATGTGTGCCGGCTGCGGGAGCAGAGCCGGAAGGTGCCTCGGCAGGTGCAGTCCTTCAGGTAAGTGGCTTCATGGGGCCAGCTGTGTGCTGTCCCCCTCGCGTGGTGGGGTGCACAAGTGAGAGTTACCACTGCGTCTGTCCCTGGTAAGAATATAGTGTACATCGTTCCGTCCTGAGGTGACACCCACTAAGCCAGTCTCCCCAGGAACCCAGAACCTCTTCTTTTCATAGAGAAATCTTTGCTCAGGATATAGAAAAGTCATAGATGTTTCTTCTCCCCCAACACATGCACACGTGCGCGCGCACACACACACACACACACACACCTTGTACTTCTCTAATCCCCACAGTAGAGCAAGAGAACACACATACACTTCCTGCTCCTACAGAGGACCTCCAATCCGAAAGGACAGGGTTCCACAGTGCTGTGTAGAGCTTTTTCAGTGCCGTGTGAATAAATCAGGATTATGAGAGCATTTGGGAGGAATCAATGTGTGTAGGGCCAGGTGTTCAGGCACTATCAGGTCAGCTCAAAGGAAGGCATCACTGGAGTCCATCGTGGAGGGATTCCACCAAATCTTCAGGCCCTGGCTGTGGTGGGGATGAGGAACAGCCCAGCTGTGTGTAGCAGAGCTTGTCAGGTAGGGTGGGACTCAGAATCCACAGGACCTGAATGCCACACCGAAGGATTTCAATTGCGGCTTCAGTACTGAGGGAGCCAGGTCTCAAGTTAAGACGGGAGCCTGTGGGGACAGGCATTGGAGGCACGGAGGAGACTGAGGCAGAGAGCAGAGAAGAGGACAGTGAGGACGCCCCCCTGCATCCTGCTTTTACACAGCCTGGTTGACCATGCTCTAGGGCAGACAGCCCAGGTAACTCCAGGTAACTCCAGCCATCGAACACTCAGAAATCAAACTCTAAAGTGGGGTGAAGAGTCACAGAGAGAGGAAAAAGGAGCAGCCTGCAGGTTCTGTGTGGTGGCTCCCATGGTGGAAGCGGGCAGCACATACGAAAGCGGGAGAAGGCGACCAGGAGGGGACAGCTGCCGGGTACTGGAAAAAATCCCAAAAGCTAGACGGAGAGCCAGAGCAGCCCTAGAGCCGAAGGACCAGAAAGGAACTGAAGTGTCCCCAGATCGTGAGGCCTCGGAGACCGTATCAATTGGTCAAATGACAAGAGGGTCACAGGAAAAGTTCTCTTTACTTGTTTTATGTTCATCGTAGGTTCGGCTTAGGTTTTGTATAGAGAAATCCTTAGAGAGCTTCTAAGCTTGGGCCAAGATGGTTCAGTGAACAAAGGAGCTCGCAGCCAAGCCCGATGACCTGAGTTCAATGCCTGGAACCCACATGTTGGAAGGAACAAACCAATCCCCGTGTGCAGTCCTCTGAGCCCCACGTGTACTGCGACAGGGTCTCCTCCCTCCTCCCTCTCTCTCTCTCTCTCTCTCTCTCCCTCTCTCTCTCCCTCTCTCTCTCTCTCTCCCTCTCTCTCTCTCTCTCCCTCTCTCTGTCTCCCTCCCTCTCTCTCTCCCTCCCTCCCTCTCTCTCTCTCTCCCTCTCTCTCTCTCTCTCTCCCTCTCTCTCTCTCTCCCTCCCTCCCTCTCTCTCTCCCTCCCTCCCTCTCTCTCTCTCCCTCTCTCTCTCTCTCCCTCCCTCTCTCTCTCTCCCTCTCCCTCTCCCTCCCTCTCTCTCTCTCTCCCCCCATTCTCTCTCTCTCTCTCTCCCCCCTTCTCCCCCCCCTCCATTCTCTCTTCCTACCTTTCTCACATGCACGCGCGCGCGCACACACGTTACAAAAGAGAGCGAGAAAGAAAGCTAACTAGCTAGCGTTTAGGCTCTGGAGAGAAATCGGGAGAGAGGCTGTTTGGCAGCAGGGAAGGACTCATGGCAGACAGACGGGGAGAGCTCTGACTGGGAGCTGACATCAGACAAGTGAGGCTTCAGAGCAGGGGCAGGAGCTGAGCTGCTGAAGGTCTCGAATATAAAGGTAAAAGGCTGGGTTTTCCCTGCCCATTGTGCTAGACAGCCACAGTGGCCACGCACAGAAAGTGCTGCTCCTTGGTGTCTGAGCTGTGCAGTGGTAGCAGGAGCCCTTCCTGCCGGCACGCTGCAGCCTTCCACAGCAACCAGCATCCTCAACTGTGAAAATCTTAAACTTGCAGTTGTTAAACTATGAGGGAAGAACGCACAGGCGTCCCTGTTCCCCATAAGAAACCCACCTGTCCTGGTGTGACGGCAGGTGTTGTCGCAGGACAAAGGCAGAGGCAGGCAGATCTCCGTGAGTTCGGGGCCAGCTGGTCTGCAGAGTGAGTTCCAGGGCAGCCGGGGCTGTATAATGAGACCCTCCCTCCCTCCCTCTCTCTCTTGGGGGCGGGGGTGGGGGAGATGAATCCATTGATACCACAAGGCAATCGATAATCGTGAGAATGACGGAGTGACGTGAGACATGCCCTGTGGGGACTGTGTGGCACCTGTGGTAGCTGAATGTGCTCCTTGGTGCCTAGGCGGCAGGTGGGGCACAAGCGCAGTCCTGCCTCAGCCTCTTGTTTCGTGTGGAGACAGGAGCCCAGTGTCCTGGGTGTCATGTTGCTCAGGCCAGTGAGCAAGGATCCCTTGTGACTCCAAGGCAGCCGCTATAACTGACCATGTAGTTGAGTCCTCACAGGGTTTGGCAGGGCTTCGTGGCCTCCCAGACGTCATGATGACAGTCTCTGGCTGCTTTAACCTCTTTACTCATCTTTAGGGACTAGGCAATCTTAAGGATGCTGCATCACAATAACCCTGCTCGTCACTCTTTTCTCATTCTCCAGCTGCACCATGGCTTGTGTGTTGGGAGGGCAAGCTCAGCCCTTCCTCCTAGCTGCCAAGCACAGCTCAGTGTGGAACACACCTCAGTGCAATGAGTGGTAGCATGCTATGCATGTGAAGTTTCCTAGAAAGATAAGCGATGTCATCTCTACACTCCTTATTTTTCCTATCATTTTCCTGACTCGAATACCATTCTGCTCCATCCTGACAGGTCTCCTTCTGTCTCCCAGGGTGGTTTTCCTCCTAAGATAGTCAGGTGGGGGGGGGGGCTGGAAAGATGGCTCGGTGACAGGTGGAGGCCTGAGATCAGTCCCCCACCGCCCACCTATGAAAGCTAGATGACCTGTAACTGCAGGGCTGAGGGGGCTCAGACAGGAGGATTCCTGGAACTTGCTGGCTAGTCGGTCTCACTGAACCAGCAAGCTCCAAATTCAGCAAAAGACCCTGTCTCAGAAACTGAGGTGAGAGGCTGGCAAGGTGTCTCAACAGGCAAGGGCGTCTGTCTCCAAGGCAGACAACAAGCGTTTGTTCCCTGGGACCTGAACACTAGGAGGAGAGAACCAACTCCACAGAGTGTCTCCAGCCTCCACACCGGTGCCATGGCGCACATGCGAACACGCGTGCGCGGTGCACACACACACACCATAAGTAAATAAATGTAATGAACAAATTAAAAATACTGTGGAGAGCAATTGAAAGCATGAGCAGTGCCTCCCACCACACACAGAGACAATCGTGTGTCATTCTAGTGTCCCTGTCCCTGCCTTGTCATGAGTTAGCTTTGACAAACTTCCTGGTGTCATGGATTCTCTAAGGTCTCTGGGAATTTCAGGTCAGCATTTTGGTCCTTTTGAATCTTCTCCTGCCCTGGCTTAGATATAACCCAACATAGCCCACACCCCTGGTGGACAACAAATGCTCTTCAGTTGGAAACTCTAGCGGGACTTACTGACTTGGTGTGTAGAGGACTTATATCCAGGGGAACTATGTGTACTTCCCCCCTTTAAAGCAATGAAGACTCAACCTGACAAGATGGTTCAGTGAGGAAAGGCTCTTGTTACCATGCCTGATGATCTGAGTTCAAACCCCCAGGACCCACGAGGAAGGAGAGGACTGCACGTTCTTCTGACTTCACGCCAGTACCCTGGCATGTACACTCCCACACATACACCAGATAAAAATATCTATAGAAATAAAAATTATTAGAAAGGAAGGCTCTTGTGATTTTAGGCGTAGTTTCTGGGATTGTGGAGCCAGCCTTTGGGGGCTCTCGGAATTTCCAGGTTCATACTGAGTGGTTCTCTCCCTGTCTCTGTCTAGGGAGAAGATAGCCTACTTCACACGAGCGAAGATCAGCATCCCGTCCCTGCCTGCTGATGACGTGTGACCTCGCCTCGCGGCTTAACACTACTTCTTGCCTGCTCACTTTCCAAGGGAGGGTCAAAGACTGAACATTTCCTGGTTTTGTTTTTTTGTTGGGGGAGGGGCTTTTGTTTCCTGTAACATAACTGACAACTCTTGAAGAACTTTCATTCCACACCAGTTTCATCAGGTTACTCTGTAAAGTGTGTTGAATGTAACTCTTACATGCTTTGAGAAGGAAAACAGATTCACAGAACAGAAGTGGGGTAGCCTGATCCACACCCCGTAGTACAGTGTGCGTCACCCCCGCGTTTCACTGTGCAGAATGGGACAGAGGCAGCGGGGGCCCAGTGTCTAACCACTGAGCCAACTGCAGGAGGCAGCTACCCGGGAGCCTGCGAAGCGGGAACCACACCATTCTAGAAAGCCACTCTCTCCACCCGGAGTGCACACAAGCAAGCGTCACTCTGAGTCCACCCAAAGCAGGTGCCCTGTTCCTTCCAAGTCTGGCCACCTTGTGTCTGCCCTCCTAACCTTGTCTAAAGAAAACAAAAGCATGAAATACTGAGTACAAGATGTGAAAAGCAAAGGTATATTCCTACTGTGGAGAGCTGTGGTCAGGCCAGAGAGAAAGAGGGGCACCATCTCCCAAAAAGCACACCAAGGAAACTCAACTGATGTTGGGTGGCCACTGCTTCTAACGCAATCTGAATGTGCACGGCTTTGTCAGTTTCCGGTCTGCACCAGGTTTTGTCCCAGGGATAAAGACAATGCCACAGAGAAGCGTGTCATGGCCCTGGGCTCTGATAACAGTGCAGGCTGTGCAGAGGGGACACACCCTAGGTGAGGCCCAAGATGGCAGTCAGTGCAGGTGGTGAGGAGGGGACACACCCATGTTCATTAGGTGAGATCGGAGGACAGGGCGCATCCTAATGACATCATAATCAACAGGTTTCTTCACTTACTTGAAATTATTTCGAAGCTGTCAACTCTAGGGGATTCTATCAGTGATTCATAGGCAGTGAACAGGAGCAAAACAATGGGTGTGCCTGAGAGGACTCGGAGTGTAGACTGGACCACTCAAAAATATATGTTCTGGGCAAACAAGCTTGAGCTAGAAATTGTCAACATGTCCTGCTCTCCAGGTTAGGTTTTAACTCACCAGACCCGGGCACTTCTTAAAAAAAAAAAAAGAAAAGAAAAAAAAAGCTCAGCATAGCTTTGCCAGCATACAAGTGTTAAGATACATAGTTTTTAGGTAATTTAAACCATACTTACTTAGTCTGTCATACTGGAAGAAGCTGTGTTTTGGTGAGCCATCTTATATAGCAAGCTAAATTATTTTTATTTTTTTAATGCAAAATAATTTTATAGGAATTTTAAAAAAGAAAGTTAGGCAAGGAAAAAAATCTGTTTAAAAAGAAGAGTTATGTTCTGCTGGAATCCCCATTAGTGAGAATTTTTATTTTCTTGAATCTATGCATATTTTAGAACGTTCATTTTATCAGAATCATTATTTATACTCAGCCAGAACTTAAGTTACTGCACCTAAAACTTCAACCGTTTTTTTCCCCTAAATGTTGCACAGCTTACGCAACCTCTTAGAAGATGTAGCTGGACGTGACACTACTTGGAATAAAAAAAGAGCCTAGTGGCAGGCTGAGCACTCTCCCGGGCTGCCCAGTTTGCCCTGTGGGCACCTGAAGGAAGCTGGAGTGCCATCCATCATTGTCAAGGTCAAATGTGAACAGCAGAGTCTTATTTAATATAGTGCTAAAGTAAAGGTCAGCTGTCCCCGGCGTCATATTTGACCCACGAAAATGTTCATAGAATTTTGTGTAGTTGTACCGTACGATTTTATTTTCATTTATTTATTTGCGGTCTTATTTATGTTGTGTTTAATATATAGTTTGGTTCTGGCCATCTTAAATGTTGGGCTTACAAGAGGCTATATTGGAGTATTTGCAGCCTCAGGATCTTCACCAGACTTCTTGCTAGCTTTTCGTAATACAGAACGTCTCAGATAAGTATTAAAGAATAGAGTGTCTCAGGCTGTGACTAGGGGACTTTGGTTTTATTTTACACAACGTGCTCATTTCTAACATGAGAGAGAAATGCATTCTAGCAGGACCCACACAGGACCCACACTCTAAAGCCAGCAATAGTTTTATGTATTACAGGCAGCTTTATGTAGTCCTGTCACATTTGTATTAACCCATGATGCAGAAAACATTTTACTAACTCGATCACAAAACCATATGAACAAATAAAAATTTTAATATTATGAAAAATATTTTTAAAGGTAGAATTATTCTTCACAGGACAAAAAGAATTTAGTATTTAGCTCTCAAGTTTGGATTATCAGTATATTATTACCATTTTATATATCAGACTCTTAAATGTTACAGGTACAAAAAGAGTATTACTTGCCAAATGAACAAAGTTTAGCTGAGTCTCTAGCATACAAATTAAATACATTTAAAATTTTTTGCTATGGATTTATATTATATTAAATATGAGAAGCTCAGGACTGAACTAAATATTTAAGCAGGTTAGATTCTGAATGTTTCCGTTTTCATTCGTGCTGTTTGTGAAAGTATTCAAATACATCACACAGATTGACTCCCATTGCTGCACGTTCCCTTTGTTTGTGGATGGAAAACAAGTTCAGTGATTTTTTTTAAACAAAGATATGTATTTCCTAATACTGTATTTTAATGTTGCTTATTGTTGAGTTAATTTCCCTGATTGGCACAAGTACAAGAATCTACTTGAACCTTGTACCAAGCAAATATAAAATGTTCCATGGAGAATTCCTCAAACCAAAACTTTGTCATGAATAGTTCTTATTTAGACTGTATATATCAAGGATTTATAAATGAGATGGGTATTTTCATTTCTCAAGGAAAACAAGGACTGACAAGTATGTGGTCCCCAGGTAACTACTCAGGCTGGCAGTGGTGAGCAAAAGAGGTTGCCTTCTCAGGAGGCGCTGTGCCCACCCACACACACCCGTCCTGACCTGTGCCACGGAGCCAAAGCAGGCAGGACATTCCTCCCTGCAACACGGGCACAGAGGCAGGCACACTTCTGTGTCGCACATTCTATCTGAATTCCCAGGATCCAAGGTCGCTCTGCTGTGCTCAGAGGCACACATGGGTGTCTCTGATGTGGGGAGGACTCTAGAGACACTGAAGTCTCTGAAGAGGAGGTGTCCCATGGAGTCCTTGAAGGACCAAGCAGGTGTTTGTCTGTTGTTGTTTTGTTTTCACTGCCATCACTTGTCATGCATTTTAAATAAGTATACACTGAGACCTTGATCGCATAAGTTATCTTAGACACCTGAAACTGCATGATCAGCCGTCACATCCATTTTCCACATGATGCCTCTCCACATGAATGACCCTTCAGTTACACAAGGGCTCCTGGAATGTTTTATTTACCCGTTCCCTGTGTGTGTGCAATCAGAGCCTATTTTAGAGGTTGACGAAGCGTTCATGCTCGCTGATGACTGATTACACTAATAGGTCCTGATTCAATTGGCCTCCCAATAGGAAACAGAAGTGCTTTGCTCAGTTGTAGGAAGAAATTGTATTTGAAGAAGTTAATAGACACAGAAAGGAAACGCACATTTCAGAAAATCAAGATCACAGTGAGGAGGGGTGATTATAGCAGGAGATCGTACCAAGTCCATCTGGAGCAAGCACCTGCTGAAGAGTGGAAAGGCCACAGATCCCTCTGGCTTAGGTTTCTGGGTTGGCCTGTTTCAGCTCCAACTGCTGACAGTGGTCTTGCAATCCTGTGACTGCGTAGCGGCCCGAGGCTGGAGTTGCTGGGCTTGAGCAGGCTGCACAGTGAAGCAGACACCCTCCTAGCACGAGGCAGAAGCCAGCAAACCAGCCGAGGAAAAGGGCCTCCCCAAACTCCCACCTGGGCACAATCTCAGGCAGGGTCTCATCCCAGAACTCCTGCACTGTCACGTGGGCCACCCAGGAGACAGGAACCAGGACCATCACGCCCGAAGTCCAGAGCAGGAGCCCTCCCAGGATGAGCAGTCGCCTCTTCAGACCCTTCTGGGTCTCTCCAAGCCTCAGGCAGTCCAGGCTGCAGCCAGAGGCCAGCAGCCCCAGCAGCCCCAGCCCATTGGACAGAGACATCAAGACCCTGGAGATCTGGAGTTCGGCTGGCAAGGCCAGGAAGGAGTCAAAGTCCTTACATTGACTCCCCACTTCCTCCTGGATGACGCAGGATTGCCAGAGTCCCATGGTCCAGTTTTCCATCTCGTTCAGCTCCAGGTTGAGGTTCTTCCAGTGTGGCAAGTAGTTTGTAAGGCAGGCTAAAACCCATCCCAGCAGTGCTAGCAGAAGTGCAGCGGACTGCGTGGCTGTTCGGAAGTCTAAGCCCATTAGAACGCCCTGTGAGCGTGAGCCTGAGCCAACCCGACTTCTGCCCTGCGCTTGCTGTAGAAAGTGTGACACTTAGCGCTCGCAGAGCTCAGGCATGCTTTTGCATTGTGTGTATAGGAGGACACTTGCCAGGTCTACTATTGTTTGATTCCATGTTGAAAAGATTTCTGAAGAGGACAGGGAAACACAGCTATGAACCAGTAATGCTAAGGTGTGGCCGGGGCCGTGTTTGTGTCCCGTGGGCTGAGGTTTGTGCAGGGCGCTTTGACAGCCAGCCTCCGAGGTCAAGTTGTGCTAATCTTTTCATTGTGAAGGTTTACCTGGCTTTCACATTCCCAACGCTCCTAACAAGCCAGAGAATTAAGTCTAAGTGTTAAAAAAAAGGAAAAAAAGGATTGTTTAATTGAAGGTTTGGGTTCAACTCCTCCTCCTCTGTGCTGTGCTAATTAGACCTGTCAGATTTTCATCTGTTTAAGAGTTCTCGAGTTTCAGTGCGTGTGTTATGATAATACTGGGTGTTACCATCTTTGCAAAAAAGAGGTTCAGAGAGAAGTATTTCTTAACCAAATAAATCAATCTTATCAGGAATCCCTCTAGACTTTAAATGGAGCCTGCTTTGAGAAGTCTGGCTGCAGGAATTGCAGCGCACACGAGACAATACTGAAGTCAATGTGGGTCTCACTTATCTGCAAGCCTTTGGTTAAGCTCACTCACGTGCCCTAGCAGCTGTCGGACTCTGAGAATTGGGAGAGTTTTCTTTTCCTTCTCTCTCCTTTTTTCTTCTTTGCTGGAGTTAGCTTCCTAGGCTGTAGGAAAGATAACCAACAGGGCCTTTGGGTAAAAGTCAGATCATTGTCCCCGTTCCACTGTATGTCCCCAACTTTGTCATTTGTAACTGAACACAGACGTTTCCGTTCTGACAAATGAACTGAGAGAATCTACATAACAAGAAAAAAAATCTCTCTGGAATTTTTTTTTTCCTTTTTAAATTTGAAGCTTTTTGAGTAAAGAGATGAGGGCAGAAAGCGGCTACCACTTAAGAAGAGTAAAGGCCCACCACGCTCCGGTGGTCCACCCAGAGCATCCGGCCACATCCAAATTCCCAGCATCCTCGTAGAGTTCAGTAGGCCCCTGGGGATGGTCAAACAAGAGCAGAGTCACCACGGAGATGACTTTGGTGCCTGTCTTACCCTGTGGCTCTCCTAATACTTAAAAGTGGAGACTGTTATTATTCTCTTTAGGACATGGAAAGTAATTATCCTCTCCAGCCACAAACAGCAGCACAGCTTTCTCACATTGTGAATCCACCAAAGCCCTGGACTGACTGAACAACCTCCAGCACACACTGGGTTAAATATGCAAACCAATGACAGGATTTTTTTACACCTAGTGACAAACACATAATGTTTGTTGTCATAACTTCCCTGTAGATAGACTTCCTTTCGTCCCTCAGATTTGAGAGGCAAACCCCTAGTATAGACCAAAAGAAAAAAAAATGTGAGCAGCACAATTTAGTTACACAACAGAGACCCTTTTGTCATCCGTGATGAGGGACACGACTGGGCCCTGCTGGCGGCTTACACTTTAGGTTGTGCAGTTCCGTTTTCCAGGTATGCATCGTGGTCTTGCAATCCTGTGGCTGCGTAGCGGCCCGAGGCTGGAGTTGCTGGGCTTGAGCAGGCTGCACAGTGAAGCAGACACCCTCCTAGCACGAGGCAGAAGCCAGCAAACCAGCCGAGGAAAAGGGCCTCCCCAAACTCCCACCTGGGCACAATCTCAGGCAGGGTCTCATCCCAGAACTCCTGCACTGTCACGTGGGCCACCCAGGAGACAGGAACCAGGACCATCACGCCCGAAGTCCAGAGCAGGAGCCCTCCCAGGATGAGCAGTCGCCTCTTCAGACCCTTCTGGGTCTCTCCAAGCCTCAGGCAGTCCAGGCTGCAGCCAGAGGCCAGCAGCCCCAGCAGCCCCAGCCCATTGGACAGAGACATCAAGACCCTGGAGATCTGGAGTTCGGCTGGCAAGGCCAGGAAGGAGTCAAAGTCCTTGCATTGCCTCCCCACTTCCTCCTGGATGACGCAGGATTGCCAGAGCCCCATGGTCCAGGTTTCCATCTCGTTCAGCTCCAGGTTGAGGTTCTTCCAGTGTGGCAGATGCGTTGTAATGATGGCTAGAGCCCATCCCAGCAGTGAGAGTGAAAGCCCTACGGACTGTATGGCCGTTCTGAAGAGGAAAGCCATTGGGGCAGATGTTGCAACTCAGCTACTCTAGAGCACCTGCCGCACTGTGTGGTTGGCAGTAGTGTGATGGTCTTGATTCTATGCTGCCTGAATATAAGCTTTGGTCATTAACTCTCTGGGCGCTCTGAAATACGTTTTTGTTCCTCTTGAATATAGTGTTTCATGTAAAGGGTAAAGGACTCTGTTAAAAACTATGAGTTAGGCTGTCTGATAAGGATTTGATCTGCTACCTTCCAATTTGCTTGGTAAAATTACATCCCCAATGCTTGACGGGTATAAGTCTAAAGATGAACAAAGAGGTCTCTATGACCCCTCACCCTAACGTACAACAGAAATCTTTGTGCTTCAGTATGGATTAATTAGATTTTAAGTGGTGATAAAAAGGTCGGCTCTTTCTGCAACAGGACCTCATTGTAATAGCTGCATCTGAGATTTCAGGGATGCAGAAGAAGGCCTTGTAAAGAAAGGTAGACTGTTTCCCTATAATCTCTCTTCTCCTCAGAGTCCCTTAACCTAAACAGGAGCTGGGCCCATGTTCCTGAGTGTCACATGGATTCACTCAGGACTTGGCAGGAAGATTTCCTCAGATTCCTTTGAAAGCTAGAGCCTGGTTCACCACGTTAATTAAAATGAAAATGATCTGGGTTGGTGCCCAGAGAAACTCAGGGAGGAGAGGGGCATTGTGGGAAACTCCATTGTCCATCCTCATTAGACACCAGGTGAAGCCTGATGTCTCCAGCAGCAGTTTATTGCCCAGAGCTGAGCTCCCCTTGCCCTTTCAACTACAAAGGCAGAGATGCTGCAGGCACGAAGGCGCCTGTCGGTTTCAAAAGTCTGGTATGAGAATAATAGCCACGATGGGGCTGACCTTTGAGGCTTCATCTTGTTGTTTTGGTTCAGGCCACACCTTGAGAGCATACCTCAGGCGAGCATGACCCCTCAAAGAACACTGGGCCTCCTCCCAGGACAAAAGGCCGCATGCTCCAGATTCCCAGCCTTGTTCCATCTCTGGCCGGGCCCAGCCCCTCTCTCAGAGCCTGCAGCCTGGATGAGTATAGCTCAGCGACGAAAAACCACTGTGCTTCATGGAGCACAGAACAAGACGCAGTTTATGGCCAGAGAAAATCATTCATGACACTGACACGGATTCCAAGCCCCAGGAACCTGAATAATTTTAGAGTGTGGTGTTCTCTTTCTCTCTTTCTTTCTTTTTTCTTTCTTCCTTCCTTTCTTTCTTTCTTTCTCTTTCTTCCTTCCTTCCTTCCTTTTTCCTTCCTTCTTTCTTTCTCTTTCTTCCTATCTTTTTTTCATTCAGCTTATCTATTAAAAGTTGTCAGACTAAAGGTATAGCTCAGCGGTGGAGTCCTTGACAGATGTGCAAAGGGCCCTAGGTTCCGTCCCCAGCACTTCAAAATTAGGTTTGCCAACACGTGACTTTTTTCCTTCATCGATGCTAGGTTCAGTCCCAGCACCAAACACACTCAACAAGCACTCTACCTGTAAGCTGTCCCAACTATAGTTTCCTTATTTTTGTAGATTTTCTGAATCCCTTAAGCTAGGTCGATGTTCTCTGGGTGATGAGGCAAGCACTGCGTGTACTCATAGAGTCACATGATCCGGAAAGGGCCGGCTCTGGGCCTGGGGCCTGTCACCAAGAGATGGGATAAGACAGAGCTCAGAGTTTCTTTGCGGAGACTGGCAGGATGAGGGAGGTCTGAACAACAACCACTGATGGGGACAACCGCTGACGTCACATTGCAAGCATAACGAAAACGGGCTGTTTTGTGAGATAGTGAGCTCTCTGTCCCAAATGTGTCTAAATCAAGGACACCCTGCCTAGGGAAAGCTCTGCTGTGCCGCCGGTTGGACCTGTACAATCTCTATGCACCTTCCGCACTCACGCCTTACAGCTTTGGAAGCAATGTTCACTAAGTATGAGCTGGCCTGGAATTAAGTATCTAAAATGCAGCCAGGAAGGGCGGTGCAGTCCCACAGTGGCCCTATGGGGTCCTCATTTGCATGGGAAAAGATCATTGGCAAACAACTAAATCAGGGGTCCAGGGGAAAATGAAGAGCTTTGAGGCAGGCCAGGTGTTTCAGTGGGTAAAGCTTGAGGACCTGTTATCAAGCTTGAGGCCCAGGGTTCTATCCCCAGGTCCCACATGGTGGAAGGAGAGAGCCAACTTCTGGAAGCTACCCTCTGATCCCCACACCACACACATGTACATAAATAAATACATTTTAATTTATTTTATCTTATTTTTGTGCATATGGGTGTTTTGCCTACAGGTATGTCTGCGCCACACATGTGAGGCCAGAAGAGGGTGTTGGATCGCTCAGAACTGGATTTGCAGGAGGTCGTAAGTCACCATGAGGTGTTGATGCATCAAACCCAGGTCCTCTAGAAGAGCAGCCACTGAGCTTCCCTCCAGGTCCCTCCCCATAAAAAAGAGCTGCGGGACCACAGGCAGAAAGGTCTGCCCCATGGAGGAGCCAGCAAGCGGAAGGGAACCCCAGACACAGGGCCAGGAGAGCCCCCACCTCTAGAGTATGGGTGGAGGGGACACTCACTGTTCCACATGTGTTCATTCTGTCTCGAGGGTGGTGGAGGGGATGGGGGGTGGGAATAATGGGGAGACAGACACATGGACAACAGAAAGAGACAGAGACAGAAGCAGAAGTCACAAAGTCAGCATGCACTGAAAGGGGACATGAACCACCATCCCAGTTGACCAGGCCCTGTCACTTAACATTAAGAATCACATGCCAGGAGAAGCACCCAGTCCAGGGCATAGATAAACATGCCGTAGCAAACCATCCTAACACGCTGTTATTTAAAGCAAACCATCCCAATACGTTGTTATTTAAGACAATCATCTCCATGCGTCTTGTGATTCTGCCATTTGAGTGACACTTGAGGACACAAAGGTACTGAAAGAGGCTAGGTGTGGTGGCGCCCACCTTTATTTAGTCCCAAGGCTTGCCAGGCAGATACAGGCTGAGCTCAGTGAGTTTGAGGTCAGCTCGGTCTATGCAGTGAATTCCAGGCAGGTCAAGGCTACATAGCGTCTCAGAAAAAAAGACAATTAGAAGCCTGCGTTGCTCATGACTGATGGATGTAGGTAGGTCTGTTAAAATGTAAGAAAATACCGGAGACCAGTTTAAAAGAGGGAAGGAAGAACATTTAGTGGAGCAGCCTGTGGCCTCAGTACCCCTCAGGTAGAAGCAGGAGGATTCTGGCTTTGAGGCCGGACTTTGGGTCCACATAGTAAGTGCCTGTCAATAAAATAGGGAGGGGAAAAATATTCTGACTTAGTTCTGATCGCTTGGCCCGCTGCTCTGGTACCTGCAGTGAACCAGCACCTTACAGTGAGAGCAGCTGGAACTCAGAAGAGCAAGGGTGCCCTAGGAATGTAGGCTGCAGGGGTGGCGGGCAAGGGTGCCCCAGGAACGTAGGCTGCAGGGGGTGGCGGGCAAGGGTGCCCTGGGTGCTGAGGCTGCAGGGGTGGTGGGCAAGGGTGCCCTGGGTGCTGAGGCTACAGGGGTGGCGGGCAAGGGTGCCCTGGGTGCTGAGGCTACAGGGGTGGCAGGCAAGGGTGCCCCAGGAACGTAGGCTGCAGGGGGTGACGGGCAAGGGTGCCCCAGGAACGTAGGCTGCAGGGGGTGGCGGGCAAGGGTGCCCCAGGAACGTAGGCTGCAGGGGGTGGCGGGCAAGGGTGCCCCAGGAACGTAGGCTGCAGGGGTGGCGGGCAAGGGTGCCTCAGGAACGTAGGCTGCAGGGGGTGGCGGGCAAGGGTGCCCTGGGTGCTGAGGCTGCAGGGGTGGCAGGCAAGGGTGCCCTGGGTGCTGAGGCTGCGGTGAGCAACAGGGTGTTTAATAACAGGTTCCAGGATTTCAATATAGAGGTAATTAAGAACCTGGAAAGGTTATAAGCAAGCGTGTGACTTGATCACATGTAATTTTACAAACTAAATTGTAAAGGGTTCCCAGGGTGCTTATTTGTATCACCCGAGATCCAAAGGCCACAACCAAACTGTCTACAGACAAGCTGTGGCCTGACTGATGCTCAAAGTGCCTAGCCTTGGGAAGGCGGGCTCTGTACTCCCATTCGTACAGCTGGCAGCAGTGGTCCTGTTAACAGGGACGGGGGCACTAGGAGAGCGAGACTACAGAGCGGGCACAAGACAGCATCGGAGAGCTGTAGATTCTAAGGTCGAAGGGAAGGTGAAACCTCCTGTTGCCAGAGTAACCCTTTAGAAAACAATCCCTCCATGTTGAGATGGCAAGTAAAAGCACTGGCCATCAAACCTGACAGCCTGAGTCCAATCCTCAGAACCACAGGGTAAAGGGAGAGAATTGACTCCTACAAGTTGTTCTCTGGCTTGTACACACATGGTATGTGATATGTTCACACATATGTACACACGTTACAAGATAGATAGATAGTAGGTAATTAGATAAATGATAGAAATGACAGATGATAGGTAGGTAAGTAAATAATAGATTGTAGATAGGTAGATAAACAGGCAGATGGACAGATATAAAAATGAAAAATAAATAAAATATAATTCCTCCAGCTCTAGGGATCCAAGTCTACCATTCCATGGTGTGTGTTCCAGCACTGGGCCAGGTCACAGGTCAGGATAAAGTCTCTGTCATGGTTGGAGACCTAGCAGAAGGATGTCACAATGGAGTCAGCAATAGGAAAGGCCATTTTACACCTCTGTGGCCAGCACCTTAGGCGTGCCCTCGCCACAAGGGCTGCCCTTTCTCCCAGTCACTTTGACATGTCAAAGAAGACAAAGGGATTCTCCCTGCCGAACACAACTCCATGTGATTAAAGAAAGCCTATAGTTCCAGAGACTGAAGCAGGAGGAACACCGGAGCCCAGGTGCTGCAGGCCAGCCTGGTCCAGACAGCAACACCCTGTCAACAAAAAGGGAAAGAAAAAACGAAAAGCTATAGGCTATTTTGTTTTTAGTATATTCTTATTCTAGTAA